TCAGTCTGTCTGAAGGCTGAGTTCCATATACAGTGTGTAAATGCCAAATGGAATAAATTCATTATTTCGGTTACTGTACACCGATACACCAATTGAGAAATGTTGTATCATGGTATTGCCAGACATTAACTTGATAATGTGGTGATGCTCCATCCTGCTGAAACCATATCGTATTCATTGGAACTTGAGGGTTTCCTGGATCAGGATATAAATTTGCTAAACTTGGAATGACATCATTTTGAAGTAGTGCCAAATAATTATCGCCATTCAAGTTGCCCTCAATGAAAAAGAGACTAATGATATGGTTTCCTACAATCCATGCCCAAACATTAACCTTTTGATGGTACTGCGTGTGTTCTTCTCTCATCCAGTGAGGATGTTCTGTTGACCAGTAGTGGCAATTTTGGATTATATTATTATCCAACGTGTCCATTATTTGCCCACAAAAATAAGTCCTTCCATTGAAATCGTCTTCCATGAGCTCCTGAGTATGTATCATTTTATAGGGATGCATTTCTTTTTCTTTTAATATGTTTACTATCGATGTATGGCTAACATTGGATGTAGTGGATGCCTGTCTACTCGATGTATGTGGGTTTTCCTCAAAGTCTAGCATTACATCTAATTTGAGTTCATCACTCATTGAATTTTCAGCTGCTTATTTATCTTTCCAACATGACTAAGTTCGCGAAACTGCTTCTCTATTTTGCTTATTGATCTTTGAGATATGGGTGGTAAATTAGGACAGTTCTAATGAAATCTGTACCTCAGAGCCAGATGGACGTAAGTCACATTGTGCTAACTTTACAGCAGACCAATAAAAGTGAAAATAATAATTTCATCGTTAAGCTACAAAGCTATTGTTCGAGATATCATATCAAAATTCATCAAAAACATTGAAAGGGTCGTACCTTATTCATTCATGGACAATTTTTGTGTGAATAATTTACAATTGATATAATTATCGTGGTTTAAATTAGGCAGGAAAGGACTTACGCCATTATGGCTCTATATCAAGAATCTTTTTTTGGACTTAGTGATATTAAGATATATTATAAAAAATGATTATTACGTCTTTTTAAGTAAACATAACTACGCAAGCATTCATTCAAAATTTTTAATTAACATAAAAAAACATAGACGAACTACAAAATAATATTTCATTACTCCAGAGCAGTGGAGTCATCCTCAGGAAAGTTTCCTTCTGTCTCTCCATGTGGAAGTCTTTCAAAGAAGGCTCTATATTCTTCAGGAACCCACTGCATCAAATTCATGAGATCTTTCTATTTCTCGTTACTTATTTTCTTCTTTGTTTTTCTCACTTTTGGTATCGCCGCTGGCATAACGACCCTTCCTCTTAGATTTTTTTTGAATTCGACAGTTTTGAAGGCCTCGTCTGCAAAACTTGTTTTATAGTACAACTTGCTGTCACCTTTGCGAAGCTGCAACCACACTACACGGGATATCAAACTTGGTTCCTTGTCTGTGTTTTTCTTCCTTGCAACAAATGGAGCATCTCTGCTTCTCAAGTAGAGGAAATCAAGGAAGTCTTCGAGGCACATCCTCCTCACAATGAAGGGGTCATTTTTTGAACACGAAGCGATAAAATTTACCCAGTCGTTTACTTTCTTTTTCGCCCTCTCTATCACACTATGCTTAACATCGACTTCCATGTGTGTGTGTGCCCAGCAAGTAGGAACTTATGATTGACTTCTGCTAGGGTCCCTAATTTTTCTAACAGCCACAGATACATGAATACCATATTAATATTTTTGTTTTGGCCGCTGCAATTATCTGTCCACACTGTCAAGTTCTCCGTAGATCTATCAGGATTTCTTAGTTCTTCCATCGCCCAAACGAATGAACATGAAGCTATTTCATTACCTCTCCGACCAGCTGTTGTCTCATCCCACATCATACACCAAGTTCTGTCAATGGTCGTGTCATAAATAGTACTATTTAATGTCCAGAGCTTTCTTGATTAGAAACTTTGTGAATTCTTCAAATCAGGCGTTGGAAGACATTTTTCGAGATCAGATATAATCACTCTGGAACCTTGAGTAGCACGGGCTTCCAGTTTATCTTCCCTCTTTAACTTATACCTTTGTGATGCATCTTTAAGGTGGTTTTCTTTCTGCAGAGTGAGTCCAATAAGATTTTCATCATTCTTTCCATATTTGAGTTCAAAGTCAAGTTTATCGCAAACATCACAAGTGTCATTGCCTGGTAAGTGGAAAGGCAAGTTGAAATCTGATAAGCGAGCTACTTCCTGTTGTGTTAGGGTTTTATCTCTGTAACCAATCATTTGTAAAACTGTAATTTTAGGCATTTCCGTTAATCTAACCATTTGTCAGACTTGAAGTTAACAAACTTGGAACTTAAATTAAAATACTGATATCTAATGTTGTAACATGCAAAACAAGTTGACAAGGCGTTTCAAACTAACGTTGCCACGGAAATTATTTACAATGTTTACCATCTAAAGAGAATGTAGAGACATTTCAAACGTTATATCACAAGCCGATACTTCCTATTTAAAAATCACACTGATCAGAAGGAAAGTGACCCTCAATCATTAATTGTGATTCCGCACTAAAAACCCTGTTAATGTTATCGAAACAATATAATGAAGTTAAAATAAATTTTGAGAATTTTGCAAAGAGTAAGTACTGTCAAAATCAGATTGTTTCTGCGAATAACACCAATATTTTTCAGGAAACCTAAGAAAAAATCGCCTAACGTTAAAGCTATGCCTTCTCTCGAACCTCAAATCGATGAAGAGTCTACTAAGCTGACTGTCCTCTTGAAAATCGAAAAACCGCTCATTTGTGAAGAATGTGGAAAGTGTTTCTCGGACCACATCGAATTCGCTTATCATTCAAGGAAACACAGCGACCGCAACGTATTCTCCTGCCATTTATGCTTCTTCACCGTGAACTCAAAATTCCGAATTCGAAGACATATAAAAGCTCATTCGGGTTACAGATGCCAGGTTTGCAACAAAACTTTCAAACGAGGCCGCACGGCTCTCAACCATTCCTACCTTCACAGTGGTGAAAAACCTTATAGATGCAAGATTTGCGGTAAACAGTTGGCCAACCCAAAAAGCTTAGATACTCATCTGCATACGATACATCACGAACTGATAACTGGGAAGCCTCTTAGCAAATACGACTGTCCGATTTGCAAGAAACATTATGAATCCGAGACGGGTCTGAGAAGACACTACTCGAGCACCCATAGGGAAATGGGTGTCGACCTCACAGTGATTTGTGAGGTCTGTGGCAGGCGAATTTCAAACAGAACAAGACTAACTCGTCACATGCGCACCCATACTGGCCAAAAACCGTTCCCGTGCAGCATTTGCAATAAGAGTTTCGCCACGAAATGTCTTCTGATATCCCACACGAGAATTCATACTGGTGAAAAGCCGTATGTCTGTTCTTACTGTGGTAAGAGGTTTGGACATTCGGCACCTTATCGGTACCATGTGAAAATCCATACTGGAGATAGGAAGTACGTCTGCAAACTTTGCGGAAAAGGTTTCATTTCTAGTAGTAATTTGAAGATACATATGAAAAGTTGTTATATGCCCGTAAAAACGGAAATAGTTTGATGAATTTTTGAAATTAGTTGTCAGAATTGTAAGAAGGTTATTGTTAAATAAATGTTGGAATAATTTTCAGAGAATTTTCCGTAATACATTTTTTCCTATTCAACATGATTATTCAATATGGTTAAATCGATAGGAGAATTCATCAAATATCGATGAAGATGGAGGAGTTTTTCAGAATATATTCAATAACATATTTATGTCAGTTTAGTTTATTTAAAAAATACCTTCCGAACTAGTTTGAAACGTATTTCAACAATTTCAAAAATATCATTCATAATTCACGAACTCAATTGTTGAAAGAGACTGTTTCAGAAATGTGGAATTTTCGAAGTCCAAAAAATTGGATTGCATTTCCCATTTCATGTACATCTCTTGACAGATATATTTTTTGTTTCTAAAAAAATATTTTTGTGAAACTACTGTAGCAGTTTCTATTCATGTTACGATATTTATATACGAAACGATTTTCATATACGGAAAAAATGTCATTCAATAAAGCACATCTACAAGCCATATGTTCAAACATTCAGTCACTGATAAAGGTTTGTATATGATAATTCCTCACCTCATTGTTAACGAAACACGAAATTTCAGGTTGGATGCCACCAAAACAAAAAAAGAGATAACCCGAAATAAAGTCAAAGTGGTTAGAGAAAAAGAAAATAAAATACAGAATATGTTTGAGTTGAGGGAACCCATACAGTGCACCTTGTGCAAACAGAAATTCGAACACGTTCTAGACTTTGCTTTTCACTCCAGATACCACAATATCGAAGGAAAATATTGCTGTCATTTCTGCGACAAGAAGATCTACAAGAAAGATCACTTTAAGCGTCACATTCTGTCGCATAATGGATATCAGTGCGAAATCTGCAACAAAATCTTTAAAAGAAAATCCACAGCTCTTAACCATCGCCACAGTTGGGAAAAGTTGTATCAGTGCACTGTTTGTGGCAAAAATCTGGGCTCCTCCTGGAGCCTCAATAGTCACTTGGCTAGTGTACATCGGGAGAGCGAAAATGGAGAGGTGCTGCCGCGGTTTCAGTGCTCAATATGTCGTAAACACTACCTGTACGAGAGCGGTTTGCGTCTTCACTATTCCAGTCAACATAAAGAGCTAGGAATTGATTACTCAGTCATCTGCGACATCTGCGGTCGCAAATTGTCATGCAAGAGCAAGCTCAAGCAGCATCTTCGAACCCATACCGGCGACAAACCTTATTCTTGCACTATTTGCTCAAGAAGTTTCACGACGAAAGATCTGGTTACATCACATATGAGAGTGCATACAGGGGAAAAGCCGTACGTATGTATGTACTGCGGAAAAGAATTCGGACAAGGAGCTCCTTATAGGTATCACCTCAAAACGCATACTGGAGAGAAATCATGCAGTTGCCCAATCTGCGGAAAAGAGTTTATTTCCAAAGGAAACATGAGGATACATATAAAGAGCTGCAACACACATAGTGGAGCAGCTGATTTGCAGATTATACAAACAATTAATGTAAAAAATGAAGAACAAGAGAAGATATCGTAGAAGTAATTAAGTAACAGAGGGTTCTAATCAATATTGAGTTATCGACTGACCATTGGGGCCTTTTTTGCATTTTCACTCGTTTATACCTGAGATACAATTTACTTATTAACTGAGATACAAGTGAGAATACACAAAGAAAATGTAGAATATATGTTAGCGTTTATTAAATATATTNACCTTCATTGTATATGATTTTTTTTTAATTTTCAAATTTAGAACAACATTTAAAAAATCAAATCTTCTAATTGACGGAAATTGTCACCATAGCAATATTGTGTAGTTCTTAAAATAAGAAGTTAAGCAAAAACCATATGACGGAGCCATGGGAAAAATTTTAATGTCCATTATTTGTCGGATTTGAGTTAACGGTGGCATTAAACTCACTTCAGACTAAACTTTGGATAGCATATTCGTTTCAGGGGAAGAAGCGTTTAGATCACCTAAATAATGGTGATTGAAGTTTCGAAGTCCACGGGAAGGAACGTTCAGGTCCGGGGGCGCCTGGAAAACAAACATCAATGTCCACGATGCAAGGTTTCTTTATGAATGGTACACAGTGTTGACCCAAAGTGTTAATAAATAGCAGAGTAAAGCCGTCACCTTTCATCGTAAACTGTGGGGAAGATGTACAGTTTCAAGTTACCATAGAATATTCAAAGAGCGAGCTACTAGATGTACACAACCAATTCAATTTCAACCCTCTTTTTATCAGGGAAATGGCAAAGCCAGTCGTTGAAGGCGACCAACGATCAAGGCATTATCAATTGTCGTCTATTCCTCAGTATTCTTGGAGAACTTATGATAGAAAGGACTGTTCCTTTCCCTACTTATCAACTGTTTTTTCACAATCTTAGAGAAAACATGATGAAAATGAGAGCAACGTTTGGAACTAATCATGATAAACAAAAAGTATTCATGCAAAATGAAATAAAAACTTGTTCCCATGTGTTCATTAGAGTTGACACTATTAAAAAAGCCTTTCAGACACCTTATAATGGACCATTCAGGGTGATTAACAGAAACGAAAAATATTTCACTCTTTTGTTCTAAGCAAGAATTAATTCCATAACATGGTTGTTTTTTAAAACCAATTTTACAACCCAAATTTCATTAGCTTTTCGATGTCTAATTTTTCTGTTTTCACAAAATACGTTCAAATGGACATGAACATTTTTCCCCTGCACCCTTCATATTGTTTTTTGGAGGGTATCAATAAGAGAAATAAAAAGTTAGCAAGGTAGTGTTAGTTTGGTTTAAAATGGTAAATTGTTTTGATCATAACTGCATAACAGTAGTTGTCAGGATCATCACTTCGTCAACTGGAATTCGAAAACATAGTTTATTGAACAAATATACACGAAATAATCGCTAAATTATATGATTTCATACTAGAGGCGATATACAATTTATATCAACGATTTAATTGGAAACATTATTTCATCACTATTTAATGTCGCTAATGGCATCTGATATTGAGTTATTCCTCTATATGTAGCATTTTATAATATATAATTATCAAACCGTGTATATGGTCGAAAACGTCAATCCCGACAAATAAATAATTTTTCATCAAAATCATATTTTTAGCGAAAATATGTTTTATGTCGTTTTTGTTTATGTTATATACTTTAATACTCTGTAGACAGTTTTGTCACTGTTTATTCTTTTGTTTCAAAGATACCTACCCTATTACACAGAAGATTTTCATTTAGAAATAAAGGTACTGAAGTCGTTTATGAGTTTTCTTTATATTTTTTTTAATTTGTTCTCAAGTTCATTTCATCAGATTCAATGAATTTTGGAAAAATTTAGGGGTTTTGAGTTCCTTCAAATGATCAAGAACTGTTGAACTGAACATAAATATTTTCAATTACGTACCATAAGCATCCCATCGAACTTATGGTATAGCTCTTGTTCGAATTTTAGATGTTGGTTATTTCTCAGAAAATATTCGTCAAAAATTTCACCAGCAGAATTTTTCGAGTGGTGTGATTTTTGTTGGGACTCCATCAGACAAAATCTATTATAAAAATAGATATATAAATTAAGATATAGTTTCCTAGCGTAAGCCTATAGAGTTGACAAAATACATTTTAGAAACATTAAATATAATACAATAATAATAGATAGATACCTATACCCTCTACTCGAATATTGAGTAAAATCTAGAATCGAGTATAACAAGTTATGAAAGTGCGTGCAGTGGTAATTGTATGATACGCGACTATTCCAGCCAATGGCGGACTGATCACGTGAGCTTAGGTGGTCGAAAAGTTTCATAGCGGTGAATAGAACAAGTAAAATATAGTATTCAGTGAAATATCATTTCATTCGTTTAGTGAAATTGAACTACTTTTGTTAATGAGTATGGTTCATTCACCCACAATACAATTAAAGAAAAAAAAATTCGGGCTGGTAGATCGTGACTGAATGGAACCGGAAATACCAAACGTTTTGTCTGTACTACGAATAGTGATACCATCAATAGCAGATTCCTAAAGATCTTACGATAATTTTCTTTTTAGTCGCGCTCTTCTAAAGATTTATCTGTCGGCTAACCTCAACTAGAGGATAAGTAAGTACGGTAGTAAGTAAGTACCTTATGAAGGTCTCATCTATGAAATCAACATCTATGAAAACTCACACCCGTCTTATCCAAGATAAACAAGGGTCCTCAATCTAAGCTTCGTCATCGATCCCCGAATGGTCTAACTTCTCTGGATCTGTACGTTAAGGAGGTTGCGTTAATGATCATGTTACAATTGCACACCGCTGGTGTAAACCTCGAAGGATCAATTGAGGCTGAGCCTATGGCGAGAAGCGCTTACTGCGTAACCTCTACTGCAGGCAACCAGTGATGCAAATGAACCCAGGTTTGTGTTCAATAAACCCTACAAAATACAAATAAAACAGAAGACAGAATCAGATGCTACAAAAATGCTCAAAATCCAAAGAAGTCTCGGGATGTGGGGTGTACTCCATATCACTAAGCCTAAGGATTAAGTGGGGAATGAGAAAAAATACCAGCGTGGTTCAAACAGAACTGGCTGGTATCTGAATCGACACAAAAGAAAAAACCAGGAAAGGAATTTCTGGCAAAAACATAACAATCTGCATTGATAGCAGACAGGCCCTATTAGCCTGGAACAGACAACGTGTTACCTCAGGGCTAGTACTAGAGTCCCACCAAGACTTGGCCAAAGTCTCGGTACATTATCCTGAAGTGGGTTAAAGGGCACGACAGGAGTAAAGGTAATCGCATTGCCGACTCTTCAGCCAAGGAAGCGGCTGAACTAATCATTTTAGGACCCATTGGCACCTACGGCCTGATGACTTCGACAATTACGTAACTAGCCAAACGTCACACCCATGCTCAATCCCTAAAGAGATGGGATGGAATCAAAGGATGTAATCTTACCGGGATCACCCTGTTGTGGCCGAAGTTGGCGCCGAAAAAGTATCGGGCGATGACCAGGAAAAAATCTACGTCTAACAGTAGGATTTCTGGCTGGCAAAGTTCAACTAAGGAAACACCTCCATACCTCCATAATGTGGGGCTAGTGGTCACACATCTATGCAGGATGTGTGAACAGGAAAATGAAACTGTCAAGCATGTCCTATCGATTCCCGAATGAAAAATCGCTTGTCTTTTTTTATAGCTTTCACTGTAACCAGAGCTCAAAAAATACTCTGTAATCTAACACCAGACAATAGTATTCAAACCTACCACATGTTTCATCAGTGGTGCTAGGCACTTATGTATTGTTGGACTCGACATCAAAAAATAATAGACGACAGTTGAATGAGTGGAATGTCGGGATTGTTTCGAAATTGCAGGTTTTATCTGCAATATTTCAGTTGATAATGACACACTCACTATTGTTGTTGGACTGAACACATCGATTTTGCATATCGATGTGAAATATAGGAATTTTGTTTCAGAACTTATAGTTATTGATAGATTTTGGTGGTAGAAGAAAGTAAAAAAATCATTTTGGGAAACAACTATTTGTGTGTTAGTTTATTCAGTGCCTAATCGTGTTAGCTTGTTAGTCTATGATCAAAATGCACTTTTCGATTTGGTAATGGATGAATGTCTGTTCACTATTATTTTTTAGATCTTTCGATCAACCGCCGATGGATTCTAATCTGCTGGAAGAACAATTTCCAGACTTTGAAACGTTGGAAACGTTCAGAAGTCCTTTTCAAGATACACCCGAAACAAAGTACGAGTGCGATATATGCTTCAAGATCTTCAGAAATGGTACTTTTGCCAGGGAGCACATGAAGTACTTTCATACAGGGGAAGCATCATTCGGTTGCGACATTTGTGGCGAGCATTTTATGTTTTCTCGATCATTGGCCAAACACAAGCATTGTAAACATCCAAATGCTCCTAAAACAAACGTAAGGTACTTCTGCACGTCCTGTAAAAAAGAGTACAATTCCCGGAACGGTTTGATATTCCATAATAAAAGACATCACAGCGTCTGTGTTGATGATCGCTCGGTACTTTGCGATACTTGTGGAAAGAGATTATCAAGCAAAGAAAATCTGAGCGTGCACATGCGAACTCACACTGGGCACAAACCGTTTTCGTGTGAAATTTGCTCGAAGAGTTTTTCTAGGAAGGATCAGATGAAGGAACACCGACGGGTACACACTGGTGAGAAACCTCACAAGTGTCAGTTCTGTGGAAGAGGCTTCACGCAAAGGGCATCCATGAAAACCCACGAGAGGATGCATACCAACAGTAAACCTTTCAGTTGTGAGATTTGTGAAAAATGTTACTCTTCTTCAGGTGCCTTGGGTACCCATAGAAAAGTTTGTACTGGATCAAGAGAGAATGCTAAGGAAGAAAATAAATAATCTGGAGTACAGAACATCTATTCTGGAGCAGTTTCATTAAGTAACGAAATTGTTTCCTTTCCTTTGTAGCTCAATAAAAAAAATGACAATTTTCTGTAATAATAATTATAGCCTTTATTACCCACAGTTAAAAACCATTTACAGAGTTAACTGAGTTTTTTAAACAGTAATATAGGTTGAGAAAAAGTGATATAGGTGCTTACAAAGTTACAATTTGAGAAAGTAAATAACAAAATTATGATTGAAAAAATTAAAAAAACTATACCAGAGAAGGAAAAATTCTCCATGAAATTGGTTCTGGCCAATCGGCTGTAAAAAGTTTTTGTACTTCTAGTTCTGAAATGAGGCACACAGAAATTTATAAGAGATAACACCTCCACAGCATCCACAATGTTGTGCAGTAATTTGTACAGAAACATTATTCCAACAAGTTTTCTACATAATTCAAGACTTTCAATATTGAATGGTATGGTAAGAGATTCATATGGAATACCTCTATCAGGATAGATACCATAAGATTTGAAGTAAATAAACTTTAGGAAACGATAGTGAACTTTTTCAATTAATGTATTATAGCAATTGTAGAATGGAAACCATAGAATAGAGCCATATTCCAATTTGGATCTTACGTAGGCTACATAAAGAGTAAATAGAGCAGATATATTTGAAAAAAAATCTACAATTGTGAACTATAAAGTCATATACTTTCAATGCTTCACTTACTTTCAATTTAATGTGGTTGGAAAAAGACAAATTTTGATCAAAATATAAAATCATCTGAATGCTATTTCAAATATATCAGAAAAGTCATTCCAAGAAAATAAATATACAGACAGGGTAACGAGAAGACTATTTAAGGTAGAGCGAATGTAATTATTTTCATGATTTTTTATTATTTCAAAATACACAACATATTCTTGAAAAGTACAGTTGTACAAAAAGATGTTTTATTTTAGTTAGTACTAGTGGCAGTATTTTCATTAGTATTTTCAAATAGAACGTTAACCTGGGCGTTCCCAGAAAAACTTGACCCCCCCCCTGTAAGTCAGAAACGGACGTGTAATCGAAAATTCCAAAGAACACGTCAATTTTTATTTCTAATGGGGCTAATTCTGCGGTCAGCAACTAACCCCCCTATTTTTTCCAGCGGAATGGAGGGTCGAGTGATACATCACTTGAAAGGTCTTTTGTCCCTCTATTTATTACCTCTGTAGTAAAACAGAAATAAAACAGAAAATTTGCTGTCGTTCATTTTATTGAGGTAAACAACAAAAGTAATATCAATGGCAACACAATCAACGAATAAAGTGTTCAAAATGACCTCCGTCCAGTTCCATACAATAATACAGTCTACTTTCGAAAGCGTTACTTACATTATTGAAGATGTCCGGAGTCAGAAATCAGTATTTCCGAACAATTCTCTGTCGCAGGTCTTCTAGATTTGCAGAATTTATTTAATTATTAGTAAACGTTTTGAAATGGATGATACTGTTACTTTTTTCTGCACTGGTAGTTTTTGTTTGAATCTAGTTGTCGCAGAACAAAAAGTAGGTAGTTGGCCACTGTCACTTTTTCACAAATTATTATTTTGTCATTTTTGTTCACTGTGTTCCAACATGGTTTATTCTACTGAAGATAGAGTAGAAATTGTTGCAACCTAATATTAAAATAATGAATGTGCTAAAGCTGGTGCATGAATTTATAATACGAATCATCCAGACCACAACGTGAGCCATCAATGCGTTATACAGTTATCGGATGAATTTCGAACTTCAGGTTCTGTTCACAACAGAAAACATAAAGTATTCCGTCCTTATAGAAATGACGGAGTTGAAGTTGCAGTTTTAGGACATGTACAAATATATAATCGACAATCTAACAGACATGTAGCTAGAGGGTCTGGTGTATCAGTTACTAGTTTTTTTCAGATCTTGAAAGCCTTCCTTCCTTTCAAGCCCTCCTTTCAAAATGAGGCTAGTTAAGGAATTAAACGAAGATAATCCTGATCGTCGACTTCAGTTTTGTGAGGTGTTCAGCGAGAAGTTGACCAGTAACTCCAATCTATTTTATATAATACATGTTTTTCAGATGAAAGTTTTTTCATGTTGATTGGTGAATTGAATAGACATAATTGTCGTTACTGGAGCGATGTGAATCCTCATGTGGTGATGATAACACATTCACAAACTCCACAAGAATTGAATGTCTGGGCCGGCATTCTTGGTAATCATCTTGTTGGGCCATTCTTCATTGAAGGTAATCTCGATGGAAACACATATTTAAATCTATTACGAGACTGTGTAGATCATATGATTACACAAATTTTAGAAATTTATGACAATTTGGTAGAAAATGAATGAACGTTTCAGCAGGATGGTGCACCCCCACATGTTGATGTTCGGGTGAGACAGTTTTTGGACGACCGTTTTCCAATGAGTTGGATCGGCAGAAGGGGTCCAGTGAAGTGGCCAGCTAGATCACCTGATCCCACATCGATGGACTTCTTTATGTGGGGACAACTGAAGTCGAAAGTGTACTACTCTATTAAGACTACAAGACTACAAATCTAGAAGACCTGCGAGAGAGAATTTTTCAGGAATGCCGGTTGCTGACTTCGTACATCTTGAATATTGTACGGAACGCTTTCGAGAGTAGATTGTATTATTGTATGGAACAATTTATCTGTTGATTTTGTTTCCTCATTAAAATGAACGACAGCGAATTTTCTGTTTCTTTTTTTAACTAAAACGTTCAACATTTAATTTCTCAATAACGAATGAACCAATTGCGAAAAAAATATAGAGGTAATAGAGGGACAAAAAACCTTTCAATCCCTTCAGAAACAAAATAATGTTTTTTTGACGTCGGAAATTTAAAGCTTTAATATTTTAACCATAATCCTTTTTGTTTTTTTACAGAATTGTATTTCCTGGACTTCATTTTTATTAATGTGTATCTTAAAATATGAAATTATTAATTCTTCTCCTAATCCAACAGGATTCCACACAAACACGGAAATCATAGTTTCGAAAAATATTTTTCATATTTTTAGTTTTTTAGCATATTTTTCTAAAGTTCGTAGAAAATGGTGTGCTATTTTAGTTTTTTGGTTGTGGGTAGGTATTCCCTTCAACTTAGATTTTCACGGTTTACTTTTCCAGGAGCAGTAAGAAAAAGGCAACACAGAAACGACAAACTACCGATAAATCTACACGAAAAAAACTGAAATCATTCATTATCAATCTCATGGAGATTTCAATGCCTTTACATTGCAAAATGTGCGGTGAAAGCTTCAATACTAACCAGGATTTTTCGTATCATTCCAAAACTCACGACGTCGAAATGATGTATTCCTGCCACCTCTGCGAATTCAAATGCGAAGAAAAGAAGGAAATCAAAAATCATACGATGAATCATAACGTTTACAAGTGCGAGATATGCAACAAAATTTTCAAATTCAAACATGGCGCTTATAGGCATGCAGAGATCCATCTCGATCAGAATACTGTACAATGCGAAATATGTGGAAAAAACCTACAAAGACAATCGTTGAACACTCACTTGAAACTTGTTCATTCCGAGGAATTTTCAGGAGTTTCGTACGATTGCTCAGTTTGCAAAAAAGCGTACAAGTATAACTCCAGTCTCAAGAAACATATCTCTTTCAACCATAGAGAACTGGGTATAGATGTGTCAGTGGTATGTGACATATGTGGTAGAAGAATTTCCAGCAAAAGTAAGTTGCAACAGCACCTAAAAATACACAGTGGTGAAAAACCATTCGCCTGTACGTTTTGTGGTAAACAGTTTCGATCCAAAGACACCATGAAGTCCCACATGGTCGTACATACTGGAGAAAAACCTTATATATGTGGGTACTGTGGTAAGAAGTTTGGACAAAGTGCTCCGTATCGTTATCACATCAAAACCCATACTGGTGAGAAATCGTATACCTGTTCCATTTGTGGAAAAGGATTCATTTCGAAAGCGAATTGGAAACTTCATGTTAAAACTTGTGATATATTGTCGAGTGAGAGAATTTCAAGTGAATGAACATTTTCTTGACGTTGAATTGCCTTGAGAAACTCTGAAAGCTGAAATATACGTCAAAATGATGATGCTAAATGTAAAATTACGACCATACATAAATAGAAATTAATTCAAGATTATTTTTTCATTCAATAACCCACCATCTTCTAGATTTGAAGTTACAACAATGGTATTGAACGAAAGTAATTTTTTATGGAGGAAAATCTTTTCATCCACCTTTTTTTTTAATAATTTCACCTACCACAATCTGAAAAATATGAAAATTATAATTGGTAACTTTATACGAGTGTAGAAAGGGCAAACTTTTCAGTTTACCCCGGTAAGTTAATGCGTAAAATCAAAGTATTTTTCACAAAGAAAAATGTTCTATTTATCAATAACTTGTATTCAATGATTTAGCCTATTGAAAAAATACTAAGAAATAATATAATACTTATATTAACGTTTCGGAATCCAAAATCAGCCGCCGTCTTGAAAACCATGATGATCTGAATACTTCCTTGAACTATATCAATGAACAGGAACCAACAATAAAGTTCACAATAGATATTGAAAAAGATGGTCAACTCCTTGGTGTAATGTTGAAGAGGTCTTCTGATCAATTTGATATAAACATTTATTGGAAAAAAACACATACTAATAGATATCTTCACTACACATCCAATCACAGACACAGAATAAAAAGCAAAAATTGCATTTGTGAGATACTTGTTCTTGTGGTAAAAGTTATAGTGGTGAAACTTCAAGACCGTAAAAAGTGCGTGATAATGAACATCAAGATTATATCAAAAATAGACACTTAACAGGATATAACACATTTTGAAATCAGACTTCAATGTCCACAATATCGAACAGCTCAAATTTTCAATTGTCAGCGACGAACAAGGTCGCGAGGCTGAGGCTTTTTCAATAAGCAGCGGACTGACTCAGATTATAAATGAGCCAACCAGGATTCCTCATTTCAGTGTTGAGTGAATTACCGATAAATGTTGGGGATCAATATAAGTCACGCAAAGTTTGACATTACAGATCTGCTGAGTGGGAGGATCTTCAAGACGATTTCCGAAATTTCCCATGGTTTCCTGACTAGATGTTTGTTTCAGCTCTAATAATCCATCTATTTATGCTTCATGAAAGTCACGGAAGTTATTATATCATCCATGGTTGGATATATATTCTTTTTTTAATGATACGAACTTCTGACAGCATACCTCGGTTCAACGAGGTATGCTGCAACAGCTTGCGAGCAAGCTGTCACCTCCAAAAAGATCGCCTATCGATAGTGGCGCAAAAATCCCAGTGTCGAAAACCGAACTAAGTTTGTTAATGCTCGGATCAGCTGCAAACTTAGGATAAATGGAAGCAAAGAACTTCCTAATCAGAGAATTAGGGATAAACTGCTTGCCAATCACAACGAGTCTAGATATTGTGGTCGGCGGCTAAAGCTGTTAATGAAAACTTCACAAAATCCACAATTCCACTGCTAACACAAGTGGATGGTTCAACAATTTGCGTCCCACTCCACAGTTGATTTTCTGGGAAAGGTAGCACTCACTATTCCTACACTAGAATCCACAATGACGGAAATTACTTTTCGACAACGTCCAGACAGGCGAATTCTGAAACAGCTTAATATCAACAAGGCGTCTGGTCCTGATGAAGTGTCCGTCATTGTGCTTAAAAAAGTGTGCAAATGAACTCGCACCAGTATTTTGTAGACTTTTTAACCTGTCTTGCAAGAAAGGGGTTTTTCCTTCTTGTTGGAAGATTGCTCGCGTTCAGCCTATTTTCAAAAAGGGCAAGAAAAATCTTCCAAATAACTGTAGACCAGTCGCTTTGCTATCAGTGATAAAAAAAATCATGGAAAAAACCTTAAACTACCATATTCTTAAATATTTGGAAGGCTTGTTGTGGAGTTGGCCGTGGTGGTGGTGCGCCCGGCTAACGATCTTCTTGGTTGAAGCTGGGATGATTCTGCAACCGTGTTAGGAATCACACGTTAAAAGGTAAGACCTCGTTAGTACTTATCTCGCACAGGTTCGTCAACTTCTGAGAAATTGTCGTTCGTATGGGGGCGACAGCTGATTAACGGAAAAACAGATTTCAAACAGACAGATTTTCAACATTTTGAGCGATCTATCGTATGTCAACCTAATTTGGAATAACGCAATCAAGAAACATTGAGAGTCAAGAGCTGTATCGATTGATATTTCTATGGCCTTCGACCGTGTGTGGTATGAGGGTTTGCTGGCCAAACTTCAAAGCTAGGGCCTGAAAAACGTTCCCTGCAAGTTGCCGTCGACGGATATCTCTCGAACACTTTCACCATCAACACTAGTGTTTCCCAGAGATCTATATTGTCTCCAATCTCTTTCTATTGTATATCAACGACTTATTGGAAAAAAACATAATCTAATATATTGCTTTGTTCACGACAGCACACATGTTTTGTCATTCCATTTGGATTCCAGGACATCGACGGCAGATACACATCTTCACCGGCAGCAGGAGGTTGCATATCTTAATGAGGATCTAGAAGAAATTTCGAATTGGGGTAAAAGTAATCAGGTTTAATTCAATGCCACAAAAACCCAGGCATCAGTTTTCAAAAAGATAAATGTTTCCGAACCGGTTATAATAATGTCAGGTCAGACCCTTCCACTTTCTGTTTCGGTGATATTTTTGGGGGTTAAAATGCAACCAAGTATCGCCTAACCTTGCAGTTGGCTATACCGTACTGATGACAGCTAATGTCAAAATATCACTTGGAACCTAATCCCATTCAAGATTGAAAAGTGATCATACTCCACAGATTACTATTCTATTCGCACTGCTGAAGAAGTGGAAGTGACAGATCCTATAAATATGTTAGGAGGTTTTCCCTCGCAAGATAAAAATAAATAATTATATTTAAAAAAAACTGTTTTAAAGAGGGCATTAATAAATATAAAGGTTTACATGTGTATCCTTTTATAATAAAGTTTGATAGTTAGATAGGACATTGGTTTCTATGCATCTCGATTCTTTTCTGAAATTTTTATTTTTCTCTGGTCCAACCGGCGAAATTATGAAGTTTTGATTACATATTAATACTTTTGTGATGTATTTGATACAATGAAACAATACAAATTCAACTTATCAGGTACATAAATGCAAGTATACTGTACCTATTGGTACAGGAGCTGAATTTTGTTTTCGTATAATATTACAAGGAATCGACCTTGAAAATTCATCTCCAGAGAAGAAGAAAAAAACTCTAGGCACCAATCTATTTATTTTGTTTAACGAGACTTCAAGCTATTGTTCTATCTGCTATTCTGGTAGTTTCGTGTGAATTTAGTTTTTCAGTTATTTTGTGTTAACGGGTAAAAAGTGTAGTTAATATGAAATGTCAAATAAATCTAGTTGATTGTTAAATGTTGAATTCATTTTGTAGATATACGACGTGACTCTGAATTTTACTTCGGTTATTTGTATAAATATAATTGAACAGAATTCGTTTTTTTTTTAACTTATTGTATCATCCACAGAACATTGAAACTGTTTGATTATGTAACACAGTTTCATTGCCAAATCATGATTATAGTACTATATTCATTTCCTAAGTTTTCACTAAAATCAAACAAATAACAATTTACATTTGGTATTAAGTAGATACCTAACGTCAAGGTAAAAAGTGGGTGGGCCTATTTGACCCTCCATCGCAAACCGCAAGGGTTTATTGTGGCTAGATACCTAACGTAGAATGGCTCGTCTATGAATACATATTCCATTTCTAATATAATCTACATTTCAGGTCAATAATAGAGATAGATTCTAGTTCCACCGTAATTATAGTGGTTTCAGATGATGAGGATGAATCCAATGAAAACATAACTATATTTGAGGAAGAGTATATAACTGATAAACATGAGGAAGACGACCCGATAAACTTCGAACACAATGGGAAAATTTCGAATATTCGACCAATAAATAACGACAAGAAATCAAAAACGGTTTATAATTATGCTAAGAAGCATATAACGGTATATGGCAATAATATATATTCTACAACATCTCACCCGAGGTCCGATTTTGTAGAACAACAGAAGCTTTCAATACCATCCAAAGATTTCAAGAAAAATACTGGATTGAGTAATGGTTCTACAACTGAAATATCTTTTACAGCTGAGATTGATACAATTTCAGATTCATTTCTCAATGAATACATTGATTCAGATGCTCCAGATTTAGCGACCAATGCACAGTGTGGTTCATATACTAATTCTGATCCAGCGTCCAACAAACTATTCAGTAATGAATTAGATACAGAAGAGAAGGATGAAACGAATTCTGCTGAGATTAAGGATAGAAAAAAAGTTATACGTTTTCGGTGTAAAATATGTCAGACCATTATCTTCAGTGGTGAGAGCTTCAACGATCACCTTAGATCCCATCGTGCCGAATATGAAACAGTAGAATGTAACCTCTGTAAAAGGTCGATGAATAGGAAAGATCTGCAAAACCACAAAAACACGTCACACAAAGGAAAAGTTCCTGGATTTGTGAAGTGTTCCGAATGCGATAAAGAATATTTAAATAGTAACAGTTTACACAAACACTACACGTATCACCACAAAGAGTTCGGTTTCGAGGACCCGTCGATAAAAGTGTGCGAAATTTGCGGACGCAGATGTCGTGGCAACAACGCTTTCCAAAATCATCACAGAACGCATACCGGTGAAAAACCGTTCCTGTGTTCCGTCTGTCCGAAATCGTTCAGAATTGCGGATGCTCTGAAAAGACACATGAGGATCCACACTGGTGAGAAACCGATGACTTGCAAATATTGTGGAAGGCGGTTTGCTCATAGATATTCGTACTGGTATCATCTGCAAGTCCATAAAGGAGCCAAGCCCTACTCTTGCGAAAGTTGCGGGAAACGGTTTATTTCAAAATCGAATATGAGAGTTCATTATAAAGCTTGCTCTGCTCTGCATTCGCTGGATTTAGAAAGCATTTAATATTACTTACGTGAGAAAAACCTCGCAAACAATTTTTGAAGGATGGTTTATCTTCACCACTAGATACTACATTGTATCAGTTTTGTGTCGATTCTTACGAATATACACAAAACTAATGTTCTTCAGCATCAAGATGTTTCGTCAAAGAAAAAGTTGAAAGCACAGTCAAGATCGATATCATCTGTCATTAATTATGTAAAACAACATGTTACCACAAACAATTTTTATGGAAATGGTAAAAAAACCTTTTATGTTTTTTATGTAAAATATATAATTTTTCAAGTTTTTTTTCATTTCTTGAAACTTAACAGATTAACATATCAAAGACAGAATAGAATTGATATTATACATTAATCCTTCAAGAGATATCAATTATTCAAATTATACCTGCTGCCTGGTCTCGCGAACTGAACCATTCATGAAAGTAAAACAATATCTGTGCATACCGATTTTACCTGTTTTGCGATACATTTCAAAAAGCTATTCAAAGTTATTCATTTTGATTTTTTTTTAAATCTTATAATTGATTTTTTTTGCAAACACGTTGCTGAAAAAACACCTAGATGAAATGAATGAATTTAAATTTTCATTTGTTTAACCGTTGAAAAGTTGTATTTGGTGTACTCAAGTAGTATTTCATCATGAGATTACTAAATTCTTCCCAATTTGTGCTTTATATAATAACAATTCAAACCATGTGACTTTCTACCTTGGTGATAACTAATAATTTTACCTGAATTCAGGTGAAAACTAACTGAACATTTTTTAAAATGATGAAAAAATTCAACAACCCAATGTATAGTTATGTACCTACATTTTGTGCTTTATATTATATAATAAACAATTACAATCATATGACCTTTTCTTACTTGATTTTTTAAACACAAAGAAAGAAAATTTTTCCACCTCAATAAAAAATATCAGAAGAGGAGAATAATTCATTTCTATCTGGTCATTCAGTAAATTATTAGAATTCTATGATATATTAGTTTATAAGCACTTCAATAGATTGAATTTCGAACATTTCTCTTCCAAATGTAATAATTCATAGTCGTGGTTGAACTCTTGTCCTTCTATCAGAAGTAGTTCAGAAATATGGAATTAGTCTTCATATTGAAGATTCTACTCCTATGTTCTTTTATTCTTTGGGAAAAGATTCTTCCCGTTTGGCCAATATAAAGTTTTAAAGTTTTGGGTAAGAAACACAAGTCAACTGATGTACTCCTGATCTATCTGACACTGAAGTTTTGCCTTTATTATATTTAATGAATTTGCTTGAATTATCATTTATCCAGCCACGTCCAAGTCTGTCATTTTTAAAAAACGAACGATGTTATTATTGGTGGGTTCGCCAAAGTACGTCAATGTCCTATGACGCTGATTATTGTTCATTGAAATAGGATAGGCCTGGTAAATGACTTGTTTTCGCAGTTTTTTTTTAATAATTGACTCGATAATGTCTACCTTGTAGCCGTTGTTGACAGCAATTTGTTCAATAAGATTTGGTTCTTTCTGAAAATCACTTTCTGGCAGTGGAGTTTTCAATAGCCTGTGAAGCATACTAGTGTAAAGTGCTACTTTATGATTATAGGAATGTACGTATGATATATATGGTTATGTCCATATAAGATGTATAGTCAATATCGATGATACCTTGATCATGACTTTTATATATAACTAGCTGACCCAGCGAACGTTATTTTGTCACTCAATAACTAACTCATAAGTGTGTGTCAGTACAATACCACTAACAAATAATATTAATCCTTTATTCCGTTAGTTCATGTTTAGCTAACACAAACAAATTTGATGGTTTGCCCACTCGAGGGCATGCCAAATATAATAATTGTCCGTGTGAAAAACATAGTTTGTACAAATCCGATCCACAAATGAACATTGTTTGGCCTTAGGACTTATTATTACTCATTGCAAATGCCAATCTAATTGAAAATTGCACACGTTTGAAATGAATTGGCACATCTGTAGGTATAATAGGGAATCATGGTATTATTATATTTTCTCCTCGTTCGCATCCCTACTCCGTGCTGTTTACCGAGTAAAGGCCGGGACACACCTGTCATACATCCTTCAGATTCGACTCCCATCATACAGTTGAACGAGTGTCTGAGAGGGAAATGGTACTTTAGTCCGAATAGAGTAGTTCACATCGTTCCGATACGTGGCCAACCCCGCTCCCACCCGACTCCGATCCTGCATTCGATCATGATCCGATAGTGAAGCCTCTTTGTTCTTTAGCTCCGGGGCAGGTATCGCTTGGAGTTTGTATGATATTTGAGTCTTTTTTTTTCTTCAAATTAAATTTAAAAAGTCATTAAAACCGGAGGAGCTTATTGAACAAATCAGAAAATATATAGTTCTATTTGACCAGACTGAAGAGCTGTACCGCTATTCTCTATGAGAGCTCTCCGATTTTCTTCATCTTCTTCTTTCAAATAAACAGCCATAATGGCTAAATCGCAGTTGCTAAAATTCTTGAATATTTTGCTTAGAGGACCTTCCGAGATATTGTTTGAATCGTCACTGGCTAGAGTGGCAAGTGTATCAAGCCGGAGCGGTAAATCGGAAAGAAGTCGGAAGCATGTATGACAAGTGTGATTACCCACTGGCGATCTTGCACCGATCCGCTTTTGGGCAAAATCAAACCGGAGTTGGATCGGAGAGGTTTATGAAGAAGTGTGTCTCGGCCTTAAGAAATGACACCGGAATAAATTACTAAATTGGCTATTAACAAATAGACATTGGTGATAGGAAAGTAAAAATTGACGGTTATATGTATGTTTCAATGCCACATCATAAAAAAAAATCAAAACAAAAATTTATGTTAGAAAATGTTTGGGGAGGAGCACTCTTATCACTTAGGGGTATGAAAAATAGTCTGAAACCTATTCTCAGACCGAATATATATATACCTTTATCAATTATCTTCTCCTTCAATGTTCACATGTCCTTTTCATGAGCCTCTCTTCGCATTTATTCGATTATATATTTATTTTTTCTTCATAACCTAGCAAATTGATTTTATGTTGCTTTATGGAACTATTGTTTGCTACCGTGATAGGTAGAATTGCAACTTTTTGTAAAAAAAGAGACTCAGTATTTTCAATACATTTTTCGCAACGTAAGGCCCGTGTATACACACGTATACACGTATAAATGTATAAATGTAACTATTTCTGTGTTTGTTTCTCCTTTCACTTCCATTTAGCGTTTTAGTTATGAGTGACTTTTGTAGCGATATTTCATAAATATGTATATGTTCAATGTATAGTGAGTAAATATTTTTATTTATCATTATTATTTCATCAGTTCAGCTTTTCTTTGGTTGTACTTTGCCCAAATAAGATAATGTACACATACCTTGGCACATGTTTATCCGAATCAAATAAACTCAATATTTAAGATGTTTAAATAACATTAAAATTATAAAAAATGAAAATAGGAAAGAACAATGTTCTTTAGATGGCGCATTCTCTTTTTAGTTCTGAGCAACTCTGGAAAAACCTACTGCACAATTTTAATCAGAGAGTAATTATTGGTGACCAAGTTATTCTGTCAGAGCAAGGCCGTGGGTCTGGACCCCCACCCGAAACAAAAATCAAGGCATGACCTTGGCCTTAATGGCGATTCACAGAGATGTCATCATCCCAACAGATGACAGAACAGAATTTGCGTATAAAAAGTTTAGAAGGCTTGATTTTGTATTGTGAATTCACTGAACGAGAAATTTGAGAATTATTCAAAAACGATATGTTGTTAGTACAGTTTTTTCAGTGGAGGGCTTTTTCCGTGCCAAAGTCATTGTAAGAAGCTCTTTTTTATTGAACCGCCTCCCCCTCCGGGCACGGCCTTGTGTCAAAGCTATCATTCAATTTTAAGTCGTCAGAATCGATGACCATTCACCCACACTAAAATCCACAATGCCGGAATTTATTTTGCGACGTCTAGTCTGGCGAATTTTGAAACAGCTCAATATCAACAAGACGTTTGGTCCTGAAGTGCCCGTCCTCGTAGCTAAAAAGCACGCAAATGACCTAGCACCAGTGTTTTGCAGACTTTTCAATATGTCTTACAAGGATGGGGTTTTACTTTCTTGTTGTAAGATTGCTTGCGTACAGTTTCTGTGATCTCAAAAATCATGGAAAAAGCCGTAAACCACCATATCCTTGAATATTTGGAAGCCATATTTGGAATAACGCAATCGATAAACATGGAGAGTCAAGAGCTGTAGCGCTTGATATTTCAAAGGACTTTGACCATGTGTGGCATGAGGGTTTGCTGGCCATACTTCCATGCTATGGCTTGTAGGGACATTTTCGTGTATGGCTCTCCAGGTTTCTCAAAGAACGCTTCCCGCAAGTGGCGGTCGATGGATATCTCTCGAATACTTTTACCATCAACGCTGGTGTTCCCCAGGGATCCATATTGTCTCCAGCCCTCTTTTTATTGTATATCAACAACTTATTGGAAAAAAACAAGAATCCAAAATATTGCTTTGCTGACGACAGCACCCTTGTCTCGACATTTCATTTGGATTCCAGGACATCAGCAGTGGATGCACATCTTCATCGGCAACAGGAGGTTGCATATCTTAATGAGGATCTAGAAGAAATTTCGAATTGGGGTAAAAGTAACCAGGTTTAATTCAATGCCACAAAAACCCAGGCATCGGTTTTCAAAAAGATAAATGTCTCCGAACCGGATACAATAATGTCAGGACAAACAATTCCGCTTTCTGCTTCGATAGTTTGTTGTGGGTCAAAATGGACATAATCATGTCGCTGGAATTGCAGAACCTGCTCCCGAACCAGAAAACTCTAGACGTCTCAGCAACGTTTAATGCTTTGTAAAGCTCAGATCAGACCTTGTGTATGCAACTCCGCCCCTAAGGATACCCTGAAGCTGCTGGATTCCATCCAGAAAAGAGCCATCCGCCTAATTGGTGACACGAACATCACTTGTAACCTTGATAGTCTGTTACATGAAAAAAAAGGTTGGAGATTTGTCTTTCTTTTTTAGATACTTTCACGGGAGGTGTTCATTCCACCAAGAGCGGTACATATCAGAAATACGCGACGGAATGTGGTTGCTCATCTTTTTGAGGTTCATCTCAGTTCAATTCGAACTTCACTGTTTAAGAACTCTTTCATTTCGAAAACTGCGTTCAAGTGGAATAAACTTCCTAAGAATGTTTTTCCAAATTAATTCATTCGAATTTATTTATGCGAAAGTAGCGTGAATCACTCTTAGATCGCCTTAATGATCTTCCTGTAGTGCTTGTGCTTCGTCCAATAAAAAAATTCAAAAAAATTCATCAAAGTCAATATGCTTTGTGACTTGACTTGAACAAAGCAAAGTAGGATAATATTTGAAGCATTGCAACTTCAAAATGAAAACTTTCGGCCATAATGCTGATTTTTTATTCTACAGGTTCGTCAATTCTACTGGTTTTCATGTCCAATCGCTTCTTTTTGAAAAGTCTATTTGGAAAAGAATACTTGGAAAATCTAACGATTGTCAATACCTTGGTTTCCAAATTTTGATGAAATAGAAATAAACAACTGAACATTTGAAATAAATACCGTGTGTAACTTCACGAAAGTAAATTTTTTCCAGTGACGAATTTCTTAAAATTATATAATGTGTGATCATTTCCCATATCGCTTTATACAAACAACTGTATCGAGTAAAGGGTAGCATATGGAGTAGCATTTTCGTAGTTCAGATACATTAGTTGCATTATTAATAACTTCATGTCACTATATTCATTTTCATTTCAGATCCAAAAAGAGAGTGTCGAAACCCCGTAAGAGTAGGAACAAAAACAAACCGAACGAAATACGTAAAGAAAGTAGAAAGTACTGTAAATTCACCTTGGAAGATTTCGTAAACTTGAACGACGTAACTCAGCCTTTCACCTGCAAAATGTGCTCAAAACTGTGCAACACTCATCTAGACTATGGATTGCACTCCATAACGCACAACGAAAACGGCCTCTACGTTTGTCACATGTGCGACTTCGCGAACGAATCGAAAGACGTTTTCAAAAAACATATCAAAAGCCACGACCTCTATAAGTGCGTCAAATGTAACAAAATACTCAAAACTCGGTTATCCGCCTACAAACATTCCAAATCTCATTCCACACAGAACAAAGTGCAGTGCGAGATATGCGGAAAACACCTTAAAAAGCAGTGCTTGTACCTTCACAAGCGAATGCTCCATTCCGAAAATAAGGCTTCCATGGCCACCAAGTGCCCCATATGCGGCAAGGAGTATCAAAACCCAAGCAGTTTGAGACAGCACTACTCCTCGACCCACCGAGAAGTGGGAATCGACGTATCCGTAGTTTGTGACATATGCGGCATGAGGCTAGCCAGCAAAGCAACGCTGCCTCAGCATCTCAGAACGCATACTGGGGATAAACCTTTCGCTTGTGATGCTTGCCCCAAACGTTTCATTTCTAAGGATATCCTATCAGCCCACAAGAGAATCCACACTGGAGAAAAACCGTACGAGTGCAGTTATTGTGGAAAAAAATTTGCTCATGGAGCGCCTTATCGGTATCACATCAAGACCCATACTGGAGAAAAGGAGCATCATTGCCCAAACTGTGGAAAAGGTTTCATTTTACGAGCTCCTTTAAAGAATCATTTGAAACGATGTATGTCTTTAGTAGAATAGTTGTGAACGTTTTTTTTTTCTATGTTCGAATAAATTATTTTTCAGGTCATGTATACACCAGACAACAAATATTTTGATAGCTCCATCTGGAAATGGTTTTTTAAGATATTATTTAGCAATTCAACAATTTCAGCTAGATTGGATAAAATAATGGATTTGAAATAACTCTCCATAATTTTCTGTAGTTGAAGTATTTCTATTTTTTCAGATTTTTGTCATTATTTTGACAATCTATAAAGATGTGGAAATGTAGGGTGTAGTCCGCCGTGAAAATAACTTCTTGACATTTTCAACAAAGCTTCCAAATACTACGTAAAAATAATATAATTGATCAGTCAATTACAAATAAATATGAGTTACCTTGTATCTCTTTCAGGTTGGTCAACTGTATATTTTAGAGTTTTTAACAGCCTTTATAAACTTTTATGAAAATATTAGTTCCCAGAATCGAAGAGTTGACGGTAGTTTCATCTCTCTACTAGTTAAAAAAATGTTAAATGGGTCGAAAAGAGTTTTTCATTTAGCAACTGTGCTGTGCTGTACAAGTCGAAACTTGTACGAGCTAAAGATTGACCTTTCTGAATTTTCACCTCTACAAACACTGTCAATTCAAATGACAGCCGCGTCCAACATTGCACCACTTAACGAGTGAGTTATCAAACTTATTCGTTGTCATCTCCGGTATAGTTCTTGAGAGATAGGTTTTTTCCCAAGTTTGATTGCCTTAGATTCACCAGGTCGATGCATTCTCGTCTCTTCGGTCTCCAAAATGTTGATTGAATAAGGACGTTTTCGACTTCATCCCAAGTGTTACATCCATGTACATAAACGACTTCTTTTGCTTTTCCTGTTAACTTTACGTTAATACTATACAAAAGCAGTTCATTCTAGGTGGCAGGTTTTGAATTATAAAAGTGGTTCAGAAGGATTGCTGATACGTTTAAAAATTTGTAAAGGCTGTTGGAGTTCCCATCAAACTCGAAAACTACGCACAAATTTTTGATATCAAAGTTTGGTCTTGCCATTACTACTAAATTACGAATACTTATGTAGTATCTGTACAGTAGGGACAGAACTTAGGCCACATGTGACCCATTGTACATCCTCCAGAGGAGTTGTCCTCCTAGGTCATCGTCCATCTTGTCACTAGGAGACATCTCTTTTATATTGGCAGGTGTAGGCCAAGACTCGCCGAACACACACTCTGTTCGGCAACCTTAAGGTGTCTCACGGTGGCCTCCGCGAAGGTTTTGAAAGGTGCAGCGATATTATTGTCGTTGCGCGACTTCTTCAATCTTCTTGGGGTTTCCTCAGTGGAGGTGCACAAGTGAGGGAGCTTTCCTGCAGGGGCAGCCGGTTCTTTGCCTTTATTCAAGGCGTAGCTCTTGGCGCCCACCGCAGAAAGTGCCCTTGCTTACAGCTTACTTTGGGTAGGCTGGGTTTTACTTCCCCTCGCCCTACTTATTTCTGCCACTGACCAGGAGTCCGGCGATCCCGTCCGTAAAACTACACTGGCTTCCTGGACAGGTCCTCCAGTCCCCTGGCCGTTCCCCTATCCGCCACCTGGGGACGCGCCCGATAGGTAGCCCAACCCACGGGTACGAATACTGATATTCAAAGGTATATTTGATTCACTGTGGTTCTGATTCGATGAATTGTCAATAGATACATTCGCAATAAGATCAGCTAACTCTAGCTCTCCACAAGGGTCAATAAATGGACTGGAAACAGAGGATTATGACATTAATAATACTCTCAGAATGATGTTAACGACTACTAAAGAGCTGCTTTCACCTTTTGGTTCTTGGAGAGGAGTCGTGATGCTGCCGTTAACGAATCGTTTGTTGGGGATCGCAAATAAACGTTCAAAAACGTCGAGGAACTTTCACAGACTCTCTCACGAATCTTACCCACTGCGCCATTTAAGGATTGGTTTTCGAGAAATAACCAAATTTCACTCACTGGGAATTTGAGTAAGTTTGAAGCGAGAGAGCTAATTCATATCGTATATTATTTCTACTATTTACGAAGAGAGTGAAGTTTTACTCAATACCTTCAAACTGAAATATCGAATTTTACCACCGAGAGGGTGGTGGCACCAGGATAATCCTGAGAACTTTGACCCGTAGATGTAAAAATACGCTGGGTTGTCCAAACTAAATGTGAAATGGTGATCCTCCGAACATTCATAGAACTCTGTTACAGAAGACGGGGGTGTTTCTTTACCACAGGCTGGGGAGTCATAGTCAATCAATACTATATGAAGCGCTCAAAATCGCAATGTGATGTTGTTGAAGGTTGTTCAAAGTCTTAGAAAAAGGTCTACAATCCATCTCGTTCACACAGTTGAAGGTCGTTCAAGGTCGACTTCATGAGAGTCGCGAGTTCAAGTCCGTTCAAGGTCAAATCCAAAACACTACCTACTCCGAAGTCACCTTGCCTACAACGTGTGACATAGGTCGAAGTCTTTCAAGGTCAAACACAAAACACTCCCTCGAAGTTACCTTGGCTTCGTTGGGTGGCGTAGGTTTGAAACTTCGAGATAGCCGCGTAACTGGCTCGAGTTCACTCGACGTCAAAGTCACCTTATCGAAAATATGGGGCAAGGCAAAGTCATTCAGAGTCAAACCCAAAATAGTACCTCAGTCATCTCGCCTGCATTATGTGGCGTAAGTCAAGGTCGTTAGAAATCAAACTCAAGACTATGAAAAACAAAGTCGCCTTGGCTACGTCTTGCAACGTATGTTAAGGTCGTTTTAAGGTTAAAAGTGGTGGGAGGGAGGTTCCGAAATCATATGCAAAAAGCATACATCTGACCGATAAATGACTAGATTAGTCTGGGTTACTCAACATGCGATGAAGTGAGTTAGGTGTTTTCAAAGCTACTCTCACGTTAAACTTTTCAAAATACATGAAACAGAATTGCACAGTTCAACAACTGTTTCTACAGACATTACGAAGGCATGTCAATGGAATATCCACTGCCACTTTCATAGCTAAACTGTTCATGAGCAGATAGGAAACGTAAATTTAGGGACAGCCTTCGTAAATCTTCGACTTTTCAAAAAGACATCTGAAGTTCATTGTCCTTCTGTATACACTAACAGATTAGATCACATTTTTAAACGTGTTCAACATGAAAATAGTCTTCCGAACGTTTTGCTCGCTTTAACAAATAATAGGTAATCCCAAGGTCAAGAAGTTTGGAAATGGAAAGTCACAAGTATATGAAATAAGTTATAAAAACTGTGACAAAAATACTTCGGTCAGACTTAGCAAGCTATTAAAACTCGTTTGAAAAAACAGGCAGCACATATTCGATTTTGAAGACCAGGAAAATATAATTTCGCTCACCTATGAGAACGGCCACAGAATAATTGAAAACTGTCTGAAATTGTTGAGACCAAAACATGACACAAGATTTTTGGATGCTTTCGAAACAGTATCATTTTATACGACTCACTCTGTTAAAATTAGGGATAACTTTCACGTTTGTCTTGTTAACTCTGTCATGGGTGTTACCATCGAAATATTTTATTATTGAATATTATAAGAACACAGAATGTTAACAAATTCAGGCAATTCTACGAAGAACATCTTCTTGAATCTCAAATTTTAAAAGTATGATTTTTTTTGTATCTATCGGGTTTACAAAATAGAAAATGAACTTCGCCCTTTATTTCCATATTTCCATTTTCAATGTGAAAATAATAAAATCGATTATTATTATCATTCAAAATTATCCAAATCATTTGAAAATTGTGATTTACAATTAAAACTAGTAGAAAACTACTCCGGTTTGAAGGAAATGTCAACATTAGTTTTAATTATTCAATATAACTCATAAAATCAATTCAATTAAAATTGCTGAATGTTATCTCAAAGAATCATTAACCAGAAGTAATTTAATTCTTTTTTGCCTTAGTGTCTGGTGTTGAATTTGAAGTGGAACTCAGGAGTTTACTGTCACTCCTAATGAATTTTAGATATACCCACTCCATTTAGAATTAAATATTCATGGACATTTTTGTGTTTTTATTTATTCCCCTCAATCCTAAATAAAAACTGCTTAAAATATACTACCCATTAGATTGCGACACTAATGACTTTATTATGGTGACAGATGAATGATGGATTACGTCAAACATGAAATATTCAATTGATTCGTTCAGTTCAAATATTCTTATCACACACCTATGTTCTCTTGTTCATTCATCGGGGTACATTTAAGTTTTTGGAGTAAATAATCTACCCCAAACGCTGGCAGTCAACGATAGGTTTATTTGAATCTTACAATTGAAAGAATGGTGAGTGAATTTAATTTCCGATTCTGCGTTCATGCCATTTGAAGCACTAGTGCATTTTGCTATTTGGATATCTTCTGAAATATAACTATAATCAGATAATTTGGTGGTGAAGCAATGGCTTCGCCAATCGTTACGGCACTTACACTAATGGTGGATTTTCCAAAGAAATATTTTCCGCCCTGCAGAAATGACCTGCTTTAAATTAGTTTGAAATCAACAAATCGTGACAGATTTATGCCGCATAGTCAAACTCTCACCGAATGAAGAAAAAAAAACAATTCTAAGAGGATAATGGGGGTTTTTGTATGCTTTCGAAAGAAACGAGGCAGTATGATACAAAATTCTTCATTTACTTCAGAATGATTTTTTTTTGTAAAATTGTACTTCATGGGATACTCACAGATTTTCGCGACTTTTTTGGGATGATACTACATGATAATAAGAATTCCGAGCAATTTTTTTTAGTTGGACTCGATTAGTTTTCGAAATATAGCCTGTCAATATATCAAAATGGCGTCATATTTTTCAGCACTGACATTTTAAATATTGAGAACAACCGAACAAAAAGTGACAGCCGCTTTCTCTGTATGAAATGCATCAACTTCAACATTTGAAAAATTTCTGAAACATTTTTCTCTATAATGATACTACATGATGGTAGGAATTCAGAACAATTATTTTTTTCGGGCTCAATTAATTTCGGAAATATAACCTGTCAAAGTATCTATGACGTCATATTTTATTTTTTCATGCAATCATTGTTCACTGTGGTGCTGGCGTTGAATCTGGTCATTATTACGCATTTAACCTGACATTCGAATTCTAAAACGAACGTATTTTCGAATATTTATTTAAAAAAAACTATCTATCCTTAACATGACCTCCGACTTGAAAAAAGGATGTATTTTTGAATATTAAATTTTTAAAAAACTATATATCCCCAACATCTTAACCTAACCTCCGAATTCAAAAACGAACATATGTTCAAATATTTAATTTTGAAAAAACTATCTATCCTCAACATCTAACCTGACCCACTAAATTGAAAACTTCATATATTTTAGAAAATGGATAGAAAAAGGTGCCATGATATGAAAAAAGATAAAAAATATGTGAATTGCAATCGTTTATTGTTGTAAATAAAAGGTAAAATGACATCGTACAAATTTTGACAGGCTATATCTCGAAAACGAATAGAGTCCGACTAAAAAAAATGTTTTGAATTCCTACCATCGCGTAGTATCATCCCAAAAAAAGTCCCGAAAATCCGTGATATATACAATTTAGCCTTTTTTGGGAAATGATATGTTTAATTTAGGTCTTCTTGGAAGTACCACTTGATTTTTCATTTAGAAAAATTATGTATGGTTGATATACAGAAAAACCCAAGATCAGTGGACCATTAGACGTGTCTGGAGAACGAAATGACATATCGATCTGGAACTTTGGTAGAGGACATTGAAGATATTTTTGGATGGTTTGTTGAATCATAAATAACTTTCATTTCAATGAATTTTTTAGGTCTTAGCCCGTTTTTAATTTTTTTCCCTATTTTTCAAACAAATCTAGTTTATAAAAAAATAATTGTATGGCATATGGAAGTTATCAAAAATGTGAAACCCACCAGAAAGCGAGACAGGGTATGGAACTTTCACAAACTTTACCAAATTTACTACAGATCGTACGTAGAGGGTATATTACAGATCTCGTTCCTTCAACACGCTGAGAATTCACACTTATTTTAAACGAAACTCCCTATATATTTTGCATTTTTAGTTTTGTTATTTTCTGTATCTTTGTATATGTAGAGTAGGGAGGGTGAGTGTAGGCCCACAGCACTAGGCCACATGTGACCCATTGTACATCCTCCCGAGGTGTTGTCCTTCTAGGTCATAGTCCATCCTGTCCTTTCCAAGAAGGTGGATAGGTCACTAGGAGACATCTCCTTCATATCGGCAGTTGTAGGCTAAGACTTGCCGAACACACACTCTCTTATTTTCATTGTGGCTTTCTTCAGCCACTCTAGCGTCACGTCGTCATCGCAGACCACTCTGATGATTTCACCAGAGTATGTCCACGACTTGAACGTGGGCGGTTTGCTGTTGCTGCTGGAGGCGGAGAAGATGATCTGGTCCAGCTCCTTCAGCAGTTGTTTTTGATGGGACTCCCATTCTGCGGTAACATTACTGTACGCGTTAGTCTCATCTATGATGGCAAACTTGAGGTATCTCACGGCGGCCTCCGCGAAGGTTTTGGAAGTTGCAGCGACATTACTGTCGTTGCGCGGCTTCTTCGACCTTCTTGGAGTTCCCTACGTGGAGGTGCTTAAGAGAGAACACTTTCCTGCAGGGGCAGCCGGTTCCTTGCCTCTATTCAAGGCGGAGCTGTTGGCGCCCGCCACAGGAAGGGTCCTTGCTGTTGGAGGTGGAGGAGAAGGGTGCACTTATAGTTGCTGCTACCCCTGCTTCTTTCGCTCTCTTTCTGCAAATGTGCTTACGCCTTGGCCTTCTTATTACATCACGAAGTGATCTGCTTTGTCCAGCCTCATTCCGAGCGGTAGAATGGGGTGGACATTTCTGTTCATCCCCAGCCACCGCCATAGCACTTCTGTCCAGCCTCGGGATTGGTTTTTGTTTTTGTTGTGACTGTTTTTGAGTTTTGTGCCATTACCAGAGGAATGCTGGTTACAATTAGGTTTCGCCTGGTTACCCAAGGGGATCGTTCGTAACCGCATATCACCCTGTGGCCATTCAGCTGTCGGCACGATTCCTTACAGCTTAGCTTAGGTAGGCTGGTCCACGGTGGCATGTTTCGCAAAGGCTTTTGGTGAGTTTTAGTTCCCCTCACCCTACTCATTTCACATTTTTCAAAAACCAAGTTTTGTCAAACCATCACTTCAAATTTAGTTCTCTCGTTGGAATACTAAGTTACTTGAGCAATTGTTCACAATGCTGTGTCCATTCACCACCTAACACCTCACATAAAACTACACGTTTTGATTCCTCATTAGGTATTAGAACTTGTAGGCGTGCATTTTACACATTGAATTTATTTATGCATTTATGTATTGACAGTGTTAAATATTTTGAATGAAATCAAATGAATGATTATTTCTTGCTCTATTTATTACCATACTAACAGCAGTTTTGTGTTATTACTTCCCTCAATAGGAAAAATGTGGAATAGTGGAAGGTTAAGTGGAAGAACAATTTAGCAGTTATTTGCATAGCTGCGAAAATTGAACTTCGCCTTTTACCATAACTTTATATATGTAGTTAGAACTTAATATTGTTATTTTTTTGTGTAGTTGTAGTAATAAAGATGATTATTATTATTATTATTATTATGAAATGTTATTGTCAAATAAGTTTTCACTAAAAATTTGATATTTATCGAAGAAAAATTCAGACGAGAATTTTTTTTCTGGAAAAATGAATACGTTTTTAATAGGATGCTTTCTCACTACTTTAGCAAGTGTTAACGATGATTTGGATCATCATCTTACGTATACATTCTGTCCTGGTTTTTTGATGAACTTTTCCAGGAGTATATAGCCAAACAACATATCGACAGCTATGTTATCATTTGAATGACCTGAATTTCAAAACCATGTAATGGTGTGCATAAGCCTTGCCGGCAGGTGGCACATTACCCAATCGTTTTTAATAAAGTCTATGTTTCTGGGGGAGCCTAAACCCACTAACATCGCGGAGGTGTTCCCCCACGTCTCTTCTCGGCGGGGACTAACATTGCGGAGGTGTTCCCCAACGTCTCCTCTCGGCGGGGGCGTGAGAATGCGCCTGCCTGAAGTAGAAGTCACTTTGCTACTCTACCCTTAACGTAGAGGTACTCATGAAATGTAGACATGTAAATAGTTCATTTTAATAAGAAAATTGATTTTGATTTGCTTTTTTCTTCTTGCGTATGGTCTCCAATTTTGGTGCGAACTATGGAATTTCCATATATTGTCTTACTCTCTGGTGGGTTTCATTCCTTCAGCAACATCCATATGCCAGGTATAAAATTTACATAAAAGCCAGATTTTTTTGAAAAATGTCAAAAAATACTTACCCACAAAAAATGATATAACCATTTGATAGGAATGAAATTTGTTTATAGTTTAACCTACCAACGAAAAATGTGGAAATACTCACGGGGTTCTATCCAAAATCGACAAAGTTGATTTTAAAAGGCAGTTCAACTGGCAACACTGCATTTCCCAAGATATTTCAGAATCATAGAACGTATAAGATCAATTTTCGTGAATATTAGTTCAAAAGGTATGATATCGTATCAAAAGGTATGAAAAACCACTCGGCAACAGCCATCATTGTTCATTTACTCATAATGGTTTTTGACTAAGTTGCTTTCAGCAACTCGAACAATTCCTGACTTCTTTTCTGGGAACATAATAATAGTTGTTGTATTGTGTAACGTGTCGTTATAGTGTTAAGTGAAAGTGTTATCACTATATTTAAAATAAACCTACGTCTATCAGAAATATTTGAAAAAATATTTCAAGTGTAGTTTTAATGTTTTTTTATTTTCAATCATTCAAGAAAATAATTAGTTGATATTCCAGAAACTATAATCGCCTTTTAATTGAAGAGAGTGTCTCAACCATATAAATAGTGGCAGTACTTCTTACAACTCTTAATTTCGTTTTTGTTTTCACTTTTTCTGGCTCATTTTGATCATATTTCTAGAAATGATCTATCCATATTCAAAGAATATTCAAATCACTTGACAAAGATACTGTGCTAGCGAAACATGTTGTGATATATTTTTCAAATAAAGTGGAGATCAAATCGTGAGGTGTAGTTTTTGAAATCCAAGAATATAGTTTGCTTCTCGTGATCGGTACAGATTAAAATACGAATCTTTTCAAAAATGGTTCAATCCGAACAGAAATTCATACCGAGTAGATATTTCACCTCTTTTTAGCTTCCAACATCAAAATAAGATTTTTCTATTTGGTACAAAGGTAAATGAATAAATCAAACCTCCACATTGGCTTTTGAACAAGAAATAAAAACTCTGGAACTGAAACTCAAGAAACCAAGAAAGAAGAGTCAAGTTTCGATGGAGGATCCAGATTTTGTTATGTTGGATAAAAAAATTCCCCGTAAAAAACGAGAAATAAAATCAGAACCAGACATCACCCTGGAAAAATTCGTGAATCTCAATGAAGTAACGGAACCTCTGGTTTGCAAGATATGCTCCATGACCTACATGAGCCATGTAGATTTTGGATTACATTCCAGAGTGCATAACGAAGATGGTTTATTTTCCTGCCATATGTGCGACTATAGAAAGGATGCCAAAAAAACCTTCAAGATTCATATCAAGAGCCACGATCTGTTCAAGTGCGAGAAATGCGGAAGGATATTGAAAAGCAAGTTATGTGCATACAAACATTCTAAATCACATTCCGGTAATAACACTGTCCAATGCGAGATTTGCGGCAAACATCTGAAAAAGCAGTGTCTTCCAATCCATAAGAAAATCTTGCACTGCGATGACAGAAACGCACTTATAACGAAATGCCCTATTTGCAGCAAGGAATATCAAAATCCCAGCAGCTTGAGACAGCACTACTCCGCCATTCACAAGGAGCTGGGAATCGACGTTTCGGTCGTTTGTGACATCTGCGGAATGAGACTCTCCTGCAAGGGCAAGCTGCCACAGCACCTACGTACACATACAGGAGACAAACCGTTCGCTTGTGATTTTTGCCCAAAAAAATTTATAGCGAAAGACATACTAGCAGCGCATTTGAGGGTGCATACAGGAGAAAAACCATACGAGTGTGGGTTTTGTGGAAAAAAATTTGCCCACAGCGCTCCTTATAGGTACCATATTAAGACTCATACAGGGGATAAAAAACATATGTGCCCTCTCTGCGGTAAAGCGTTTATCTCCAAAGCGAATATGAAGATTCATCTCAAGAGCTGCAATTTTCCCATTAGATAATTTTGTAGTGATGTTTTCCACAAGATTTTTTTTGAGAGTAGAACGTTTCGATTTTTATAATGTGACTTTTTCTATTTCAATAAGATATAATAATGTGCAGCTAGTGAGGAAAGAAACAGTTTATCTTGAAAATCTGGTGAAGATTTCCATTTCTATGACTCTTGATGAATAATTTTAATAAAAATAAAGGAATGTTCAGTATTATATACCTAGTAAGTCAATAGTGTGTTCTCTCACAGACAGTGAGATCCACTGCGGACGTAGAAAGTCTCCTTTCTAAATATTGAAAGGGAATCATTTTCAGTATAAAAAGAAATGAGAGGGTGCTACCAACTTTTGTTTAATGAGTAGGGAGTCTTTTGATACTTTGTTTGATAGATAGTACCAAACATAACTCCAGTGCATCCTTATAAATGTTCAAAATGTTAACCATTCACTTTCTGGTAATGAAGAAGTCTGATCAGAAATGTATTTCTCACATCATGAATTGTTTGTAGACTGATCTCAAGGCACATTTTTTCTCTCAATCTTTAGATGTCACGATTTTTTCAAAAACATCTAGAGGTGTTATATCCGGTGATTTAGTGGGCCATTCTACCGGTTTGGATAAAGGTGTTTTCAAGTGATGTTACGTTTTAGCAATATGAGGTACCTTCCTCATTGCATCAGGCTGGTTGACAATTATTCAGACCGGTGGATAGGCAATCTTGGTCTATTAGAATGGCCCGCTAGAACACCAGATAAGACGGCATCGCATTTTTTGTAGGTGCTCGACAAATAAAAGTATACGTTACATGACGGTTGTCTCATGGGTAGAATGAAAGGTGTTTCTAACAAACATTCCATAATGTAAGAAATGAATTTGTAAACAAACTCATTGAATATTACTGGAGTTTTATCCCAACACAAAATCGTTATTTTAACACCTCGACACGTGTTTCGATCACCAAGTGATCATTTGAAACAATTGTCGAGGTAGTAAAATAACGGTTTGGTGTTGGAATAAAACTCCAATAATATTGATTACTACCCCAAAGATTCCAAACAGTGGATCACAAGTAAACTTACTATTGTCAGAAAGTGAGTGGTGAATATTCTAAAAATTTATTGGAAAACGCAGAGTTAGCACAGGTTAACACCCAAAGGGGGATGGAACAAGTGCTTTTTTTGACTCAACCGACTGAACAAAATTATTACAGGGTGTGACAACTTGGCTTATTGCGAGCAAACCGACTCAACAAAACTCTTACAGGATGTGACAACTTAACCTATTGCAAGCAAATTCACATGTTATAGAAGACTATCAATTATTCCTAAAGTTTCGACATAGCATAACAACGAATCACGGATTACAATTTACAAAAAAATCACTGTGATAACTCACCTGATAGAAGACATCTTTTTGAATTTGAATCTAAAAGAAGGAATGGACAGATATTTGAAATAATTTGAGATTTTGTTATAGAACCTAGTTATGTTATATGTTGTAAGCAGTGGTGACAGCAACTGAACTTGATACAATTTTGGAACTCGTGTGTATAGATGATGAATAGCACAGGTCCCAAAGTGGAGCCCTGTGGAACTCCATCTCCGTATGCAGAAAGTTGAAGCAATTCCCTTCCATCAAAACAGGCTACATTTTGAATACGATTTATCTCAAATTATGATGTTTATTATTTGTTCGCAAATTGTTAAAACGAATATGGAACTGCTAATTTCTCAAGAGCGACTGACTCAATTTCCAAAAAATAAATCATAGTGGGATAGAGAACTGAAATATCTCCCGAACAAGGTATCACAAGATTCAAATCATTTGGAAAAAAATGATTTGAATCTTGTGATTCAATTATGCAACACTGGTGCCTCTCTCATTGAAAAGTACTAAAATGCCTTTTTATGTAAAATCCCCAGGTAATCAATTGAATTCAGATGCACATTTGTGGTATTTTAACCAAAACCACCTAATATCATTGAGTAAGTTGACATACATCAACTTTTTGGAATACTAATGACTAGTTTGATTACTACCGGGACGATCTTTATTAGAATATAGACTGGCGTCAATGTTTCGGTTAGTTTCCGAGTTTTGCCGTGGTCTTCTTTGGTTACAATCTACAAACGTTTCAACTGCGACTGCGGCAGTCATCTTCAATTGCGTGGTCGAAGTACTCTTCTTGATGTATCAACTGAAACTAAAACTCTCATTTCTGTCATGTCTCTTATGTCTGTAATGTCGGGTTCGCCCGTACTTTCCACGCGATTTGAGTAACAAGACTTTGTTTTGGCGCCTTTCAATGCCTTGTGCCAGATATTTGGTTGATATGTTCTCTCTTCCTTTCTGTTGAAGTTCTCTTGGTGTTTGTGTATTTCTATGGCTTCTAAATATATTCTTGTTGAATGTTGAATATTGATTCGACGTTGCTAGCCTCTCAGTATTTTCGAACGGGATTTTGTGTTCCCCGTTGGACAGTGCATGTTCAGCGACTGCAGACTTCTCGGTCTGTCCCAATCGGCAACTCTGCTTGTCCTCGACTAGGGGGCTACCAGTGCTCCTTTTCTCCTAACCGATATTAACCACAGTTACATGGAGTCCTGTAAACTCCCGCTGTACTCCGATATTTTCTTCGTTGGTTTGAAGACGGTATTAGCTGCCTCCTTCTTCAGAATTTTCCTGATTCGTTTGGTGTCATCTTCTGCGTATGGCAGATGTTCATTGCCTTGGGGTTGCTCTTCACTGTTGTTCCTCTTCTTGAACGCGTAGCGCGGATTCTGTCTTTTCTGTCGTAGCTGTTCGCTTGTAACACAATTGTTATGTGTTTCATTTCATCGTCGACGTATCTTTCTTCGCATATTCTCAAAGCTCTGTTCACTAGGTTGTTGATAACGGTTCGTTTTTGTTTTGAATGATGGTTGGATCCATTATATAGTTATCGATCTGTGTGTTTTCATCCTGTACATATTATGGCCTCGTTGATTACCTTCCTTGATGATTGAAACATCAAGGAATGAGATTTGGAGGTTTTTTTCTAATTCCATGGTGAACTTTGGTTGAGAACTATTCAGATGTTTTAGGAAATTTTGAAGTTCTTCTTTTCCATGGCTCCAAACAACAAACGTGTCATCTACATACCTCAACCAGTGCTTCTATTGTTTTTCTGAAGTTTGAATGACTATTAAAATTTTTCCATGTAGAAATTTGTCACTACTGGGCTAAGTGGACTGCCCAAGGCGACTGCATCAACTTGTTCATAAAGAGTTTTACTCCATTGAAAATAAGTTGTTGTTAGTGAATGTCGGAATAAGTTGGTATTTTGTGGAAAAATCTCCTATGTGTAGCTGAGGGATTCCGCGGATGGTACATTTTTGAATAAGAATACAATATCGAAGCTAACTAAAATGTTGTTTGGCTCCAAGGTGATGCCATTCAAATGTTCGATGAAGTCAGTGGGGTCTCGGACATACGTCTTAGTCTTCACATGTTTCTGCAGCATATCCGAAAAATGCTTGTCGAGGTTGTAGGTTGGTGATCCTATGGCATTTGATATCGGTGTCAGTGGTACATCCTCTTTGTGAATTTTCGGTAGTCCATAGAGCCTCGGTAGTATTGCAGATCAGAAGCATTCCCACCGAGGCACATTCAATGGTACGATCTCTTTAATCTTCAGCTCGCACAAGTTTCGACTCCAGAGGGTGACAGCTGGTCAATAGAAAAACAACTGGGGCCGTATTTTTTCTACATAAAATCGAACTAAAAAAAATTGGTGACTTCAAAAACTGCTCGGAGAACCTTATGGAGAATAAAAACCCTTCATTTTCACTTCAAATGGTATGCAGGTCATGATAATTTCAGTTATAAATCCCGAAGGAAGAAGTTTTTATATGAAAAATTGGTCCATTGATTAACGGATTAACGGAAAAACAGATTTTAAAACAAATTGTCAAAGGAGAACCCACTATTGACTCATTCTGTATAAAATATTAGCAAATCACAGAAATCTTCTCGTTATTGAAATTCGGGTGCCATCGAAAAAGTTTCTAAAAGTCTCTTGTAGCGTTGCGTACGTACTTCATGTTTATTCTGTCGAATATTTTTTCATTGGAAGAAAAGTGTGTTGTGATTGGTTCTTATTAGTCTAAATGATATTTTATAGCATGTATTATTAGTATTTAGAGGTTGTTTGTCGTCCCACCTGTTGATTTACAGACTGTTCATTGAGAAAATATGGGATGGGCCTAGGAACTGAGTGGTGATGTAATTATTTGATAAAAAATAAACTCTTTTTGGATATTATGACATTACTCATACTGATAGCTCTTCTTGTATTCCTAATTAAATATGAATAAAGTATTTTCCAAATTCTCGGCACTTCAGTTAGTTCTTTCTATTAAGTTTAGAATTAAACTGAGTTTCAATTAAGTTCAAAATTTTTTGTGTTCAGTATCACTGCAATCGGCAAAATTGTGACTTCTGTTAATCATCTTACAGGTGGTAAATTGAAGTATATTTCATTCAAAAATAATTTTTTCTGGATCAATTCGTATTAAGTATTTGTTTTTGGGGATTATATGACTTTATGAAAGAAGATTGCTACTTCAGTAATTAAACAGTGGTATTGAATACATATTTACGAATATTCTTTGAAAAGAAATTCAGGGCCTAACGAAATGAACTGAAACGATTTTTTTCTCTTTCTGAAATGTAGATCATAACAAAACTCCTTCCAGGGTTCTACATTTTTTCATAAAATTTTAATATAAATTCCATGTTCCTAATCTGAATCATAGATTTTTAATTAATTGTAACGTATTAACGTTTTTTTGGAATAATAAAATATGAACTGACTATGACTTTTATCTGATTTTTTATATTTTTTATATTAAATCCCATCCACCTATTTCGCAACTGCCGTCCTATTGGGAAGTTTCTGGTCCATATACGACATCTACCGGACATACTGAAACTAATCCAGATGGTAAAACAAAAACACAGTCCTGTCAGTTGTTTTCATATATTGTTGTGGTTTCTTGTGCTTCCCGTGAGTGAAAGTAATTTATTTTACAAATCCATCAGTTTTCCATGTCAATAATAAACGCACAAAAAACACTACTCTCACAAATTCGCAAATGATTAACTCAAAATATAAAAAAACCAAATCAATAAACATAACCTATATTCCCTCATCCTTTTTTTGTATCAAGATGGAGTAGTAGAAAGCCAAAAACTTTCTTTCCCAAAAACTAATCACTCCTAAAAATATAACCCCTTCAATTCGAATAACCTATATGTTTAACATTCAATTATTCGAAACAGTTGTTGCCTGTTTGAGTAGCGCCATCATCGTTAGAAAATATTTCCTATACGACTACAGTTTCGCGTAGGCTGAGCTAAACTATATTTTTTTACATAATAGATGGAGTTACATAATTTTTGTTGGTGTGCGGTGTTTCACGGGTGTCTAACTAGTCAGCAATGTATATATGAACTCGTATATAAATTAAGTGAAAATGATCTCATAAGTCAGTAGAATACTTCATATATCAGGTATAACAACCTTCATTACCTTTAAGATTCAGAAATTTGAATACTTCAATACAATATTTTCATTACTTTTCACTTTTTCAAGGACGTTCTACCGGTATACTTTCTGTATTACTACTATTAGGTACTCGAAACACACTTATTGTTCTGCTGAAATGATTTGTTCATTGAATAATGTAGGTACTCTAATTCGAAAGAATTGAAGGAGATTCACTTTCATTTTACATTATTTTAACTTAACATATTGAATGAATTCGATATTATTGACATGTAGTTATTTATTCCAGTCACATTATTCACAAATTTTAACAATATAGAAGTCATTTCCAATACTTTTCACTATAACAGTAGTTGTCCAACTAAGGAATGGTTTTCACCAAGTAACGAATCAGTGTATTCAAAATTTAATGATTTTCTTACGCAAGTCGTGTTTTATTGCCCAAGATACGTATTTCTGAGTTCTTAATACTAAGTGTTAGGCCTTGTTATTTTGTTATTCATTAATGACTTGCCAGATTATATCGAGCACTCCAAATATCTGCTTTTTGCCGATGATGTGAAAATTTTCAAACAGGTGAGATCAATCAGAGATTGTTCCGCCCTATAGAAAGAATTGAATAGTTTATTGGTTTGGAGTGTTCGATGTAAGTTAGATTTCAGCCTAAAAAATGCCAAGTTATGACAATTACCCTCCAAAAGGATCCCATTTCTTTTGACTATTGCATGAACAACGAATCGCTAAAAAATTGCATGAATGCAAATACTTAGGAATAACCTATGATTGCAAATTATCATTTAAGAAACATATTGAACATCTAAGAAATACCGCAAATCGAGCTTAAGAATTAATTTAAAGACAGACTTCTCTTTTTAGTAACATATATTCCATAAAATTACTCTATTTCACGCTAGTGTGATCCAAACTCGAATACGGTTCTGTAATTTGGAATGGAGAATACCAAATAACCTTACAGGAACTAGAAAATATACAGAACAAATTTCTAAGGTAGCATTAGAACATCACAAAATTGAGAACTCAATTTGATATACCCTCTTTAGACTCTAGGCGAAAAATCTGTTTACTAATGTTTATATATTAATTATTGTCACTATTACCAAATAATGTACCTCCCAGACCTACGCGTACTATCCTTGAGTTCAAGACTCTCTTCGGTACTGTTACTTCCACATCCCCCTCTTAATCATGCTTCGTCTAGCAAACACATCAATTGCTTGCAATATATTGGTTGGAATATGTCTCACAAAATTTAGATCTTTAGTCCGTAGACATGTTTTTCTGTTATTTCTTATTTTATTTTTGTTGTTGCAAGTTGTAATAAGTACTGCTCGTTGTAAGATAATGATACATCCCCATATTATATTATTTTGTTTTATATAACATATCATTTCAATTGCTTGTAACACAAAATATAACTCAACACTATATTTCATTTACTTCGTAATTATTTCATGTGTTTACTCGACACGCTCATATTTATAGCAGAACGAACTTTCCAGTTACATAGGGTTTTCAAACAGGGACTTGCGAATTTTGACAATTGATAAAGGCCATCTTATCGAAGCTGCATCTATCAAATTAGTTGTCATTTAATCAGTTTACTTTGCCAAATCACCATGGACGGATATAGCATTCTACAACACGTGCAAATAATAAAATTGTTTTTTCTAAATGGGCAACGTACCGCGCGCTTCGCCAATTTTACGTTCGCCAATCTACCAAAAACATAGCCGCCGTCTATGAGAGTGTGCAGGCAGTCGAATTCGCGTCGTTCACAAGAACTCGGCCTTTCGCAGACCACAACTTGGCGAATTTTCTATCGTGACTTTGGTCTGCACCCATACAAAATTCAACTGACTCAGAACCTGAAGGTAAACGACCATAGACAATGACGTGTGTTCGCATTAGATCAAAGAGTGTCCAATGCACCCGGAAAAACTCACTCTTTGGTGTGGATTATGGGCTGGCGGTCATCGGTCTATATTTCTTTGAGAATGACGTTGGTCAGGCCGTAACTGTCAACGGCGAGCACTATAGGTCGGTGATCACCAACTCCTTTTGGCCTGAATTGGATGATCTGGACACCAACGACATGAGGTTTCAACTGGACGGCACTACATGCCACACAGCTCAAGGCATATTGGATATGTTGCATTTAGTAATTTTATATTTCAATAATAAATCATTTATCATTTGAATATTGAACCTTCTGCAGTTTTTCAGAATTTTTTTTATTCTCTACCCTTTGGTATACTAGGAAGAGAACAGCGGTGTGTTTCATACAAATAGGTACGAAGAATGAATAGAATGTGAGTATTTCAAATTACAATAAGTGCTCAATATGCTCATACTATAATAACTTTATTTTGCAGATTGAAAATCAGCAAGAAGACTCGATCTTCTATGAAGTTACGCTGTCAGAAACGGTCGAGTAAGGAAACGAAAGAGAACAAATCTGTCGACGTCGGTCAAGACCCAGATTTCCAACCATTAAGCAAACCTACAGCTAAAAAGACGAAGCACCGAAACTCCGATGAATTACTGAAGTTGATACTTGAAAATTTCACCAGCCTGAATGAAACAAAAGAACCCCTAGAATGTAGTTATTGCTCGAAGTTGTTCAACACCCACATGGATTTTGGTCTGCATTCGAAATTTCACAACAAGGATGGACATTTTTCCTGTCATTTATGCGAATACAGGAAAGACACTAAAAAAACTTTTGAAAACCATATCAGAGGTCATGATCTCTATAAATGCCAAAAGTGTGGTAAAATTATGAGAAGCAGGCGGTGGGCTTATAAACATTTGAAAGCTCACACTCTCACTAACAACCTGCAGTGCGAAATTTGCGGCAAACACCTAAAAAAAGAATCTCTCGCAACACATCTGAAACTCATCCATGCAGAAGATAGGAGTTCTCTCATAACAAAATGCCCAATTTGCAACAAAGAGTACCTCAATGCCGGTAGTCTAAGACAACATTACTCCAGAGCACATAAGGAGCTGGGTATAGATATTTCTGTAGTTTGTGACATATGTGGTTTGCGACTGTCATGCAAGAGTAAGCTAAAACCGCACATAATGACCCACACCGGGGATAAACCGTTCGCTTGTGCCCTGTGTCCAAAAAAATTTGTTGTCAAGGATAAACTGAACGCTCATATGAGGGTGCACACAGGGGAAAAGCCATACGAATGCAGATATTGCGGGAAAAAGTTTGGCCAGGATGGACCGTACAGATATCACATAAAAACACATACCGGTGAGAAGTCGTACAGCTGCCCTCTTTGCGGAAAAAGGTTCATTACCAAGGCTAATATGCGGATCCATCTGAAGAGTTGCAATATATCTAATAGATGAATGTGATCACTTGAAAAATTACAAAAATGTTTATAATGCGTTTCAGATTCGATATAGGTCATCATAAGGTCATTCATTGAATTGACACATTTTAACTTTTCAAATCATTCACAAATGAAAAATTATTTCGTTGAAAATATCAGTATCGAAATATATCATTGTCGTGATAGATTAAATAGATATAACTAGGCTTTCAAGAAGTATCATTACAACCTTCCTAATATTTGTGGATTATTATCTCAGCGATAGATTCCATCAGTGGTACTCAACCAGATTATGGTACAATGTTTGTTGTACCACTTGAACCCAACTTGAACAACCTACACTTACTCCCGGCGAGTATGAAGAGTAATTAGAAACATGTTGCCAAGTAATACTCGTTGCTAAAATATGTTTATGAACGATTCAGAGTACGATCATTATACTCTGAGTAAGTTTTTGGATGTAGCCCAGGTGTAAAGGTTTCTCTTACGAAAACGCCATACATGGGATCGACAGAAAACAAAACTCAAACCACGAATTTTGATGATAGGTATCACAGATAGGATTGGTTTATGTAAAGCAAAAATAACGATGAAAGGCGAAGTTCAGCTTGAGATGTGTTTCAACTTAACTTAGTGAAAAGGACACAAATATACACAGATATTCAAAAAGTTAACACAAGCATTTATTCACTTTATACCTTATTCCTCCTTAATTGATACTTTTCAATTCAACAATCAACATTTTTCTTATAAAAAACGTAATTTGAAAACGAATGCTTTCATCAGTCGTGCCAACTATGCCATTAACCTTACAAATGTAAAATGCAGAGATATATAACCAAAAAGCAGCTCCGTACATTTTTTAACATTTTTATTGAAAAAATTTTGATGGTTGAAGTGAAAAGTGTCAAGGAAGGAGGAATAAGGTGTAAAGGTGACCTAGTAAATAAATGCTTGTGTTTTTAAATATTTTCTTTTGAAAAAAAAAGCTGAAACGTTGCCCTTTTCTGAACTTTGAAGGGCCGTAACTTTGTGAGTAAGGGAGAGCGCCGCTTTTTTCTTTCGGATTCGTAATCTACGCATCAAAATACGTAAGTCCACTCAAACATTTTTTCAAAATCGCCGAGTGCCCTCAAAACAAATATTTACCTTTTTTTGTTGCTTCGTCTATTTGATTGATTTCAAATATTTATTTTATTGAATCATTGAAATTTCTCTGAATTTGTTACGTAGGTTTTTTACTCACTCGAGAGTAAAACTCGCAATTTTCAATCGAGTTTGTAGAGAGAGTAATATATTGGTCTCGGTCAAGAATGACAGTGACATTACCCATTCTCATTACAACTAAATCAGACAAACGTAATGTCACTGTTATTCATGACCGATACCAATATGTTACTCTCTCTACCAACTTGATTGCACCATTTGCAATCAACCTCACGGATAAAACTTAAGTACTATGTAAACAGTACATCTTTAGTTTTGTAGTGAAATGACAGTTGTAAACTGAACTGTTATACATTTGCTGTGAGTATATTGAGAATGTACAGTCGGTCGGTTTCGAATTCTGAGGGTTGTCGTTCTTATGGGTGCGACAGCTGGTTAACGGAAAAACAGATTTTTTTTTAACCCGTGTCCCCTTATAACGCTTTCTTATATGCTCCATTAGGAACTTACTATGATCCAAACGCTAAGAGAACCTACATTCAAGAAGTAATGTCTCGTTAATCCTTAGCTCGCACAAGTTTCGACTTCTGAGGGTTGTCGTTCGTATGGGTGCGACAGCTGGTTAACGGAAAAACAGATTTTTGTTTAACCCGTGTCCCCTTATAACGCTTTCTTATATGCTCCATTAGGAACTTACTATGATCCAAACGCTAAGAGAACCTACATTCAAGAAGTAATGATTTTTGCTATTATTCAAAATGATAATTGAAAGTAAACCAATGACTAATGATTCTGTACTTGAATATCCTCTATAATGTTGTTGAATGTTACATTTGTAACTTTCAAAGTACACTCTGATAATTAAACTTTGGGAAATCAATGAAAGAAAATGCATATACCAACCAATAAAGTGCATAAATAATAGGTAAGTATGGAAAAAATTTGAATCATAGAAAATTTCGCTACTCCAAAAAGTGATTTTTCATGAAACAACATGGATATTTCCCGCCAATTTATGAAATGATGATGGCTAATCGTGAAAGTAATCGTGGTAATTTTCATTTATCAGTCACAATGCCAAGTTGGAATATGAAATATGATTTTCCGTTAACCGAACGGCAACCCTCAGAAGTCGAAAGTTGTGCGAGCTAAGGACTAACGAGGTCTTACCTTTCAACGTGTGATTCCTAACACGGGTTGGACGATGGCAAGCGAAAATCAAGCACTCAGCCTGCGGCTTGAACCATCGACTCACACATCGGCCAATTGACTGAATGAACAAAGCACCCACTTCGAATCGCCCGGCTACCGACCGACCGAATGTCTAATATAATTAACATTATAATGAGATTCTGATGGTGTCATTTGATGAAACATTATTTTTGACATAATTGTCATAAAATTAAATTAATGATTTTTACTGATGAAATTGATGAACTTTCAAAATTCAACTGGATAAGAATAAATCTAAAGAAATGAACCGTTCAAGCCAGTCTCGGATATACCTACACAGTAGGTTGAATAGACTGACGCCTATCAGAAAACAACTACTCCCCTGGCAAATAACACGAATAGCGTTGGATTATATCCGACAGGCGTCAGTTCAGGAATCTTCACAGAAAATTTCCTGCATATGCAATTGGCAATACAACTGAAAGAGTTAACCTTCAATTTTAGAACGGGCACACTTGCAGACCGGTTTCGGGCTCATTAGCCACTCATCAGTGCCAAATAGTGACCATCATCGACCTAAAGTCAATGATATTCCATAATTGAAAATCGGAATTTTTTCAGAGTATTTCATTCCTCTTCCTAATTTGGAGCGAAACAACAAAATGTCACTCCATCTAGTGGACGAGGTACTAACCAACTGCATATCCGAAATTCGACCGATTTCTCTGAATAAGGAAGAAAAAGTTTCTTATTAGTCAGTGGGCTATGCTTGAAGACTGGCAGTAAACAAATCTTAAGAAATGAACTTTAAACGTTCAAGCCAGTCTCGGATATACCTACACAGTATAGGTTGAATGGACTGACGCCAGAAAACAACTATTCCCCTGGCTAATACCACAAAGGGCGTTGGATTATATCCGACAGGCGTCAGTGCAGGAATCTTCACTTCACTTCACTATCTTGCACTGATGAGTGGCTAATGAGCTCGAAACCGGTCTGCAAGTGTGCCCGTTCTAAAATTGAAGGTTGACTCTTTCAGTTGTATTGCCAATTGCATATGCAGGAAAGATGAAGATTCCTGCACTGACGCCTGTCGGATATTATCCAACACCCTTCGTGGTATTAGCCAGGGGAGTAGTTGTTTTCTGATAGGCGTCAGTCCATTCAACCTACTGTGTAGGTATACCCGAGACTGGCTTGAACGTTTAAAGTTTATTTCTTTAGATTTGTTTACTGCCAGTCTTCAAGCATTACCCACTGACTAATAAGAATGGATAAGAATATTTGTACGATATGAAAATGTGATGAAAATTATTCATTGAACAAAGAGATAAAATTTGCTTACCTAAACTAATAGTAAAGAGAGAAAAAATTTGTTTGTTTATTTGATTGTTTTTAATGGATCAACTCCAAAAGTATTCAACTGATTTTAAAAATTATTCACGTTAGTCTATCTACATTTTCAAAGAGTAACATAGGCTGTAAGTTATGTTAAAAAAATAAATATTCCAAAAAGAGTTAAATAATGTAACCCAAATAATGAAAAATGTACATGTGTGCTGAGCGTGTCGATAGTTTTGAATATCAATACATTCATTTGTATTGTTAAATGATCATCATTCGCCATGTAGAGTTCATATTCAAATCATTTGAACGACTTTAGTTGATTTCTTTTTTTGTTTTGTCAAAATCAATGATATTGGCCCTACTTTGTAAATCTTCTATACTTATGAATGCGAAAGTCACCACCTAACACTCACTTATTCATCTCTGTTTATCCGTACTGATTCCTAGAAAGCTAATATTTGCTATATAGGTGCATCTTAGGTCTTAGATGCACACTCATAGAGTATTTTCGAATATTCTAACAGGGACTTCCCCCGTAGGGATAAAAAGTGGGGCGTTTACATATGAGAATTACCTTTTCATCATTGTTTCTCCGTACCGTTATATTTTCGGAGGCTGATATTTTGTATGTGAGTTCGTTTTATGTTGCAGAAGTGCAATAAGAAAACATTTTCAAATAATCCAACTGGAGCGACCCCCTGGGGATAAAAGGGACGCGTTTACATATGAAAATTACCTTTTCTCGGTACCGCTTTATTTTCGGAGGCTGATATTTTGTATGTAAGTTTAATTTATGTTGTAGATGTGCAATAAGAAAATATTTCTAAATATCACAACTGGGGCACCCTCCTGGAAATGAAAGGGGCGCGTTTACATATGAAAATTACCTTTTCTCCGTACCGCTATATTTTCGGAGGCTTATATTTTGTATGTAGGTTCGTTTTATGTTGTAGATGTGCAATTAGAAAGGATTTCCAAATATTCCATTATTCCAACTGGGAATAAAAGGGGAACGTTCAACATATGAAAATTACCTTTTCCCCGTACCGCTATATTTTCGAAGGCTGATATTTTGTATGTAAGTTCGATATATGTTGTAGATGTGCAATAAGAAAAAAATTTCAAATATTTCAACTATGGTGCCCCCTGGGGATAAAAGGGGCGCGTTACATATGAAAATTACCTTTTCCCCGTACCGCTATATTTTCGGGGGCTGAAATTTTGTACATAAGTTCGTTTTAAGTCGTAGATGTGCAATAAGAAAACATTCTCAAATATTTCAACTGGGGCGCCCCCCTGGGGATTAAAGGGGCACGTTCACATATGAAAATTACCTTTTCTCCGTGCCGCTAATTTTCGGATGCTGATATTTTGTGTGTAAGTTCGTTTTATGTTGTAGATGTGCAATATGAAAGGATTTTGAAATATTCCAACTGGGGCGCCACTCTGGGGATAAAAGGGGCGCGTTCAACATATGAAAATTACCTTTTCTCCGTATCGCTATATTTTCGGAGGCTGATATTTTGTATATAAGTTCAATTTATGTTGTAGATGTGCAATAAGAGAACATTTTCTAATATTCCACCTGGGGCGTCCTCCTGGGGATAAAATGGGCGCGTTCACATATGAAAATTACCTTTTCTCTGTACCGCTATATTTTCGGAGACTGATATTTTGTATGTAAGTTTGTTTTATGTTGTAGATGTGCAATATGAAAGGATTTTAAATATTCCAACTGGGGCACAAGCCGCGGGAGAAAGGACGCATCCATAAAACAAAATTATCTTTTCATCACTGTTTCTACATGCCCTTAAGTTTCTGGTGGGTGCATTTATATTCAGAATCAGCATTGCACCCGTCCGGAGCTATGGCGGCTGCTTGTATGCCCATAGATGAAACAAGAATCGTTTCCAAATATGAGCATTAGTGTTCGCGTAGCGCCTCTGTGAATGGAATGCCGAAGTACGTTGTGTATGAAGAATCAAGAGACCGTAGATCAAATGTTTCCGTCAAAATATTTTACATAGGGGGATCCAAATGATTACACCATAGTATTTCTGTGCATCTTGGTGAAATTCTATAAGTGAAAGGTTCTGCCAAATACGTGACACTGTAGATCAGTGGAGGTCTTAAAAAAATTTGTTAGGATAGTTAATTTTCGAATGCATATTAATTCAATGATAATTCAACGATGTGAAGGTGAGGTACCTAATATTATTCATGAATGAACAATGATAATGTATTACATTTCGTATTAAAATACTAACAGTATCATTTTCCAGGAATAAGAATATGAAGAAGAAACAAAAGATGGTTGGCGGCCAATCTAAACCACAAACTAGAAGGTATAAAAGAAAGTCTCGAAATTCAGATTCCGATCCAGATTTTTTGTTGGAAAAAAAGAAGGTTGCTAAAAAAATTAAGTCAGAAGAAGAAAATTCTGATGAACGCAAAAAATCTATACCAGATACTGAAAAACCAGCAAAGAAACGGAAATCTCGTAACTGCGACATGAGCGATAAAGACGAAAATTCCAAACAAATAATCAGGAGAAGAAAAAATATCAAGCTGGAATTGGTAAAAATAGAGAAATTCGTAAACTTGAATGAAGTGAAGGAACCGCTGAAATGTGGCATCTGCACCGAGAGTTTCATGTCCCACGTGGATTTGGGTTTGCACTCAAAGGTTCACAATGAAGATGGACTGTACTCTTGCCATCAGTGCGACTATACAAAAGAGAAGAAATCCTTATTTAAAAACCATGTTCTTAGCCACGACCTCTGGAAATGCGAGAAGTGCAACAAAATTTTCAGGAGCAAACGCTGCGCCCTCAAGCACTCCAAAACACACGTCGCTAAAAGTTTTGTCCAATGCGAAATGTGCGGCAAAGACGTAAGGAATGTATATTTGGACACACACAAGAAACTAGTCCATGCTGACGAGAAGACAATTCACATCTACAAGTGTACTCTTTGTGACAAGTCCTACAAAAACTCGACCGCTCTCAAAGGTCATTACTCTTACAACCACAAAGACTATGGCATTGACACTTCCGTCATTTGTGACATATGCGGAATGCGATTGTCTTGTAAAGGAAAACTAGCGCAACACACCAGAACGCACACTGGCGATAGACCTTATTCCTGTACGGTATGTCCTAGGAAGTTCATATCAAATGATATCCTCAGAGCACACATGAGGGTTCATACAGGTGAAAAACCGTACGTCTGCATGTATTGCGGAAAAAAGTTCGCACACGGTGCCCCGTACAGGTACCACATAAAAACACACACAGGTGAAAAATCCTTCAATTGTTCCAATTGTGGAAAAGGGTTCATTTCTAGGGCTAATATGAAAATTCACATGAAGAGCTGTTTATTTCCTGTCAGACTGCTCAATTGAATCTGTGGAAAGACTGTTTGGTAGGGTGATGAAATCAAAAATTATTCCAGAATCAAGATTATCTATATCACATGGCGATGGACAGTTCAGTTGATTCTAAGGGCTGCTTTCAAATTAGATATTTCAAGTTAATGAAAACATTTTCAATTAGAATCGCATGTATTTTGTGAATTTGAAATATNATGTTTATCCCAGGAAATATTCAATTTCTTCCTTATGATTTAAGTTATAGGAATCTCATTGCGTTTGTAACAGTCGTATATTGTTTTTTTTTAGTGATTTTATCCGATGAACATCTAAAGGTTTCGGTAATCCTGTATCACATCGAGTCTTGCGTTCATAAGGTTTGTTTTTGTCTATTTTACGTACAGTTGAGAAAGAAATTTCGGCCAAATCTGATGTTGCTTGTAATAGTTCGTTTCCCTCGAAATAATTTTGAGTGTGCATAATACCGTTTACTTCGACTATACAGTAATTTCGTGAATTCAAGTCAAGAAGATTCACAAAAACTGTTGATGTTTTTAAAGAAAGATATGATATCGACTTTTTTGAATTACCTTCATCATTTCTTATCAGAGAACCGTAAAAAATTATCAATGTGCATAAAAAATAATACAGGGTAAAATGAAGAAGAACCCAAAAATTTTGATTGAATATTGCATTTAAGAAGTATATAGAACACTAAGAAGTATAAGGAATTTTTACGTTGAATATTACTTCGATTAGTTGATAAAATTTGAAGATATGTTTGTTTCCTAAATTGTTTTAAATTTTTAATATGAAATTATCGATCGATATAAATGTCACTTCAAAAGTAACTTTCTGAAAAAATTGAGTGTTTGATAGTGTGACCTTCAAAAACACTGCAATTGAACTTTTATGTGATGCGATGCCTCATCTTGCTAAAACCGTTTCATGAAAATAGTACCTTTCAGTTTTTTTGTATGACACTCCATCTTGAAATTAAGATGATGGCCATCCCCATAATGACAGTTTCTACGACTAATATGGTAATTCGAAGTAAGAATAAATTCATCATAAAATATCATGCTTTATAGAATGTGACTTCAGTTGTTGCAAATATATCTCCTGAATTACCTTTCAATTTGCAGTAGTGATAATTTTACTTTTTCATATTGTGGACTTTTGCTGTTGAAATACGAATATAGGAAATGTAATCAAGATATATCAAAACCAATACCTATTGAAAAGAAGAATTGAAATCTCTGATGTAGATAAACTCTAACAAAAATACTTCTCACACTCACGAGTAATTGAAATGAACCGAATACCACATAATATAGATTATTGAAATTGGTACATGACAATAGTGAATTTTTTTCTAATCATATTCAGGGTTGGTTTCAAATTTTGCCTTCACATCGAACCTTTTCTATTGCTAGTATAAAAATCAGTGTGTTGCCATTATAACAAATAATAAACTTCGATTATTTTATACAAAATAAGAAAGTTTTAGTAGCGTACGTCACAAAAGTATGGAGAATACAATTTGTACAAAATATCATCGTAGTCATTACATTTAAAAGTAATTTATTCATTTATTCTGTGTCCGAGGAATGTATCAAAAAATTCTAATTCTATTGAATTTTTCCTCACTTCATGACAGCTCTATTACTGGTTCAGTAGGTATCTTACATTTAATGTTAAATACTACACAACTTCATCATGGATACACATGGTAAGGATATTTGAAATATGTTCAGGCCACTACTTTATCTGTGCTGCAAAAGATGACATGGTAACTCAAGATATTTCGGGAAAATCAATTTTTCTCGAGATGAATCCGCCTCCAAATACACTGAGGATTCTCAAATTGAAAGAGGTTCTTTGTGATATATTAGTAACAAGATGGTTTAATTTTTCAAGAATTATAAATGCATTCAACACAAAGCATGTGTCATATTTCCTTTCGGTAATAGGAAAACGCAATAAAACTTCGATTTATAACACTATAGTCAAGCTATAGTGAATAATGAACTTGATGATAAAAAACATTCTTGATTCAGGAATACTTTTCGTAGTAGTATTGTTCAAACAAACAGTAATGCGCATTTATTTCTTTCATGTACTTGTTCTTGATTTTCTGTACTTAATGTAAATATTAAACGAGTACATAATTTGTTGTTTTTGTTGCCCAGTTGAGTTTGATAACATGACAAAAATGATGAATTTTGACAAAATATTTGCATTTTGTTCTTTAAAAAATGAAGTGGGTTGGTGATATTTTTGATTTTGTGTTGGAATTTCATCTGAATAGCGATCATCTACATTGAAATGTTTCATTGAAATCTACCAGGAAATGAAAATCAATCAAAGCTCATTTAGCTGAAAAATAACAAAATTTCATTGACTGTAACAAATTGAAAGTCAAATTTAGAAACATCAAAGTCAAAGCCTACTAGGATAAGAATTAATTTTTTTCAATATCTCCAATTTTTTTAAAAAGAATGTTGATGATGGTGGCTGGAAGACAAAACGTCGGATAACAAATCTGAAAACACCATTATTTAGCAGAGAATAAGTGGCATTGTGGAAGTGCAATTTTTTCTCGAATCCTTCGAAAAATAAAGCCAAAAAAAATGAAAAAGATTTTCCGAAAATTCTGTTTTTTCCGGGTATCTCCGGATATACTAGGAATTTCAGAACTTTCTCAACGGCATATTGTTAGTCAGGAAAATGTGCAACTTTGCCCCAATTCAACCATCTTCGTATCTCTCATAGTTGCCGAAATCCCAATGGTGAGGATCGAATTTGAAACACCCTGTATATTAGTCATAATTCAACGATAAAAAATAGTACAAGTTCTATACGGAGTTCATCAAATCACTAATCATAAATAACGGAATATTTGTAAGAAATGTGGGACAGAATTTTTATATGCCTATCAGTTGTCATTCTTCTGTTATGCCTTTACTTAAACAGTTAATTTCTGGATACATTATCCAAATACATATATTTCAAAAAAGTGCAGATGGTAAGGTAACAAATGTATGTAATTTTCACTTTTTTTGACATCTTTCAATAACTTATATAACATTTTTAGGAAAGGTGCCAAACGTGTACAGTTGAAAATAACAAAAAGGGATCGATATAAAGTTGAGAAGAAATCAAGAAAGACAAGACGGAAAACACCCCTCAAAGCTTCAGTAGAACCTGTAATATTAAATCAAGCACTGAAGTGTCCAGAATGCTCAGAGTTGTTCAATAACAATGTGGATTTCGCACTACACTCTGTAGCTCACAGTGTGAATGATCAGTACTCTTGTCACCTGTGTGACTTCAGGTTGAAATCTAGATACCGCTTTGAGAAACACGTAAGAGCACATGAAGGTTCCAACATGTACAAGTGTGAAATTTGCAACAAACCTTTCAAAATCGGCACCCATGCTTTAGAACACATTTATTATCACAGCGGGGAGAAACCGTTTCAGTGCGAGATATGCGGGAAGCATTTCATGTACAGCAGATTGCTCAGTGCTCACAGACGCCTTTCACACTACTCAATTCTCACAGGCAAACCTCTGGTAAAGTACGACTGCAAAATTTGCGGCAAGCACTACGAATCCTACCCGGGTTTGCAGCGACACATGTACAGCAAACACAATGAGGCAGGGATCGACAAATCCGTAATGTGCGACGTGTGCGGCAAGAAAATAAAGAATAAGGATAAACTGAAATATCATTTACGAATTCACTCCGGAGACAAGCCGTTTTCTTGTCTGATTTGCCAGAGAAAGTTCGCGAAGAAGGATCTGTTACAAGCGCATATGCCCGTGCATACGGGGGAAAAGCCGTTTTCTTGTAAGTTTTGTGGAAAGTCCTTCGCTCACCGAGCTCCCTTATGGTATCATCGGAAAACTCATACAGGAGAGAGGCCGAATGTTTGTCCAGTTTGTGGTAAAGGGTTCATTTCGAAACCAGCTATGGACAATCATGTCAAGACCTGCAATAAGACCTGAAGTATTTTCTTCGTTTCTCGTTTCAATTCGTAATTTTTTCAAGGTTTTGAATTGTGATTTCCCTATTACTTGATGAGAATTAATAACACTATCCACGATACTGGTACCTACACTGGTACCTACACTGGTACCTACACGGTACCTTCGCCAGCCCAACTGATATCTGATAGAAACGTCTGTGAATGATCTACACATCTTTCCAAAATGGTTTTCGTTGATTATTTTATATTTATTTTGTCTTCATTTTTTTGGAAGGTTCTCTTCCTTTATATTTTAACGAAAAGGTAGAAACCTAAAAGTTTGTTTTAAAATTAATCACTTTCTATTCATGAATTCAATTCTCGTGGCTGGGATTGAAATTATTGTCAAACTGTTATTGTTACAGAAAACACTCGTCTTCTTCAAGAAGTATTTTCTCTATAGTGACAAACAGTCTAAAAGTTTGCAAGAGTCTGAGTTTTTTCCTTTCACGATAGTGCTGATGGGGAAGCTAGACACCAGTCGTTTATATCAATCGTTTTTCGTGAATATCTTCAGTTCCCGTTACGAATTAAAAAAGAAAAATTGATATCCGTCCATGATGGAAATTAGTTGTTTCAGATGACTTTTTTATCATTTCGAATCTGAGAGAGATACCTAAGAGAAAAAAATCTATCAAGTTTTTCATTGATATTTCAAATTTTTCTTTCTTTTTTAAGTTTTTCTTGATTTTATACTAATAATGAAATGAAAATTTAAAATGGTGTTTCTATACGGAAATGCCTTTCTCAAAGCTTTTTACCTGTTCTTGATAGTAAATAGAACAATGGCGGTATTATCAAGTAAGTTTGTGTGTGATAGTCATTTTTGTAATAAACGTGCGGCGTGTGTTTTGATATTATTTATTCAAAGTGGTATGAACTCTGTTCTTTTAAATACTCATCTCATGATCTGTTACTTCCGTACTGAACGCATCGTTTTCAGTATTCTTAAGTTCCTGTACGTTCCATTTTTTTGTATACAGTATAGATGTAAGTTTGTGGTATTTCCTGCTACTTATGTATTTTTATAAAATAAAAAAAATGTATGAACTCTTGCTGTATGTAATGAATTTATAATTTATATAATGAAATAAATTAATTAATAGTGTCCAGGCCATTGGATGTTGGTTATTAAAATTAAAAACCTGTCTTCAAGAATCAGTATATGTTTTCAACACTACTTGCTAGTGAATTCTTAAACCATATACAGGGCGGACGTAAAAAGCCACGCCTTTCTCTTAATTTTTGAAAGGAACAAAAGACCATTATTTTTCATATGACTTTAAGTGACTCCAAAGTGGACCTCTGTAGGTCATTTGAAGGTCACTGATAGTAATTGGTAGAAAAAAATATTTACATTTTCGTCTTGACTTTGGAAATTATTTGATGATTTGAGTCAACCAAATGGAAAACTTTTACTTGAATATACCCTTGACAATCATTTCCAGTTCAATAAACTCTCTGGATTGAAAACTATATTTTTGATGCCGGCAACAGAAATAGCGGCCTCAATCACCTCAATCTTCCTATTCTATTTCAAGGGTGAACATTCTGGATGATAACGAAAAACAGCTGGTAAAAACAAGTTTATGCGTGGACCCACCACTGCATGCAAGGTGTTGTGTGGACCAGCTAGTGAAAGCAAATTCATAGGTGGACCCATCTAGGACCAGGAAGTGATCAGAGCCATACCCCATTTCCCGCTATGACTCTTTGCGGCATCAACAATAAGGGTTTCATTTCAGAAAGTTTTTTGAATTTGAAATTAATTGACAAGGTCACAGTCAACTAAAAAGTCACCTTCGGACAGTTAGGAATGAATCCTTAATACCCCTCATTACTCTACCATGTTGAATGTTTGACCGCCAAATGACCTCCAGAGGTCGAATTATTTTCGCTCTTTCTGCTTCCGCCACATAAAATATGTTATTACACCGTAAAATTGTAGTAAAAATATCTTTAAAAATGGTCCAGTAGATGAAGTAACTCTTTCACCATAATGTTCCACATTAGTGGAGACAAGACCTTTTTTAAAGACAGTCTCTTGTTACTCCAATCTTCTCTCCTATTATTGAGAGCTTTCCGTGACCCGACATAAAGCCGTTTCTGCTTATATATCTTACATGTAAGCATATTGTTCTCGATCCGCTATGGTCCGTTAGCCTAATATGCATGTTGAATAGCTTTTCTAATTATATTATTATTAAGGCCTGCGCCAAACCCTGACTGATTTTTCCCAGGTTTCAAAATGAAGGTGGTCTTTATCATTCTTTACGTTTTAGCTTTTTCTGCTGTCTGGTCCTAGCAACTTATTTGGAAATGAGTTTACTGCTCACTCAATCTTCTTCCAGTTACCACTTTCTTTCACATCTAATAATCATTTCTGGACGTCCATTCAAGCTGTTGCAGTACAGAATTTGTCAATCAGAAAATATCACTAATATTATATTTTCTGTACTCCCCAGTACCTACATATGAAGTCTAGGTTCCCTTCGTTGTAGTCGATCTGCTTCCAACTCCAATTCCATATCCGATTCAAGCAAATTTCTAAGTCTTTATAGGTTTTTCAATTTGGTTTCAGATGTCAAAGGGTACATTGACATCACAGCAATTATGTGTTGTGCTCTATCTACTCGGTAGGTTCTCACTAGCTCTTTTGGTAGCTACACTGATCCAATCCTAATCACCTCAGATTATCCTTCACTGGTCGCCTTCAATTTGACAGTCGTTGAATTCCTAGTAGAAAAATGGTTCAATGGCGATATAGTTACAAATTTGCGAATGGTAATATAGGTTTTTAGGGTCTCACCCAATGCCAAGCGTTTTTCCTGTAAATTCAGGGTTCTTAAATTACACCCTATCAAATTTCTCTATGAACTTCGTAAGGATCACAGAAATCCTTTTAATACTTATTGTTTATCAGTACTACACTCATCACGAGTAAGAGGAGTCCCACGTAGATTCTCCCCTTCTATTCATACTTATCGTTCATTCTGATACGTATCAGTTAGAGGAAAGAGGTTATCCATAATGATGGTCCCTCTGCATGGATGTGAAGATGAGTTCTTTGGGAAGTAGTTTAAGCTTAGTTGGAACAAAATGGATTACTGCATGAGATTGAGTCCTCTTTCTAGTCGGCTTTTACAAAATGCACTGGGATTCTATCTCAGTGCAACAGGGGAATAACCCCTCTCACTTGATGATCATCCACAGAAGATAAATGGCTTTTGAAGATCTGGTGTAATTCAATTGAATAAACCGTCTTGCATACCTCTATGCATCATATTAGAATAATTTAGTCATTGGTCCTCAACATCTTTATTTTTAATTTCATCAGATCTTTAAAATTTATATATTTTCTCCGGTTGAACTGTTTTCATATTTATATTCAAATAGTAATATCATTATTATTTTACATGTTTCAAAACAATTTCATTATATTAATACTCATCTGCTTTCAGAGATATAATGACGCGAACGCGTCATTCCACCGATATGAGGAAATCCTCTAAAAATGGTAAACTCCAAAATAATGGAAAACTGAAAAGACAAGCTGTTCCGCCTGTGAAGCTAGAAGTTCCCCTTCGATGTACATTTTGCAACGAAATCTTCCGCAACAATATAGATTTTGCCCTGCATTCAATAGAACATAGTACAAATGAGCGGTATTCCTGTCACATATGCGACTACACCAATAACTCTAAGTACCGGACTGAAGCCCATGTTCGAGCCCATGAGGGCTCTTCTAAATACCGATGTGAAATTTGTAACAAGCCGTTCAATATCAGCACACACGCAAAGGAGCATCAGTACTTCCATACAGGAGAGAAGCCATTTCAATGCGAAATATGTGGCAAGCATTTCATGTTTTCGAGGATTTTGACGAAGCACAGGAGATCGGCTCACTACGAACTTATTTTCGGGAAACCTTTAGCCAAATATGACTGCAAGGTAAGAAGAAATATTCATTTGGTATTTCCATTCTACTTTCATTAATTATCGGTACTAGCTAGTCCGGTGATCCTATCGAGGGTAAAGGTAACGAGGAATATCTCTTTTTGTTTAAATATGCTTGGTAATTTTTGTTCTGGAATATTGACGATTCGGACATTCATTGTCAAAATATATCAACATTATGTACAACATTATTAACCGTGACGTATTGACGTATGCCCTGAGGAATGTTCGAAATAATAGTCTACTTCACATGTACTTTTTTTTTGTAACATTTTTCAGCCCCGTCCAAAAATTACGACCAAGGTGTCATTCGATTCGTATTTTTGCCTAGAAAGTTTAAGGAAAGGTCCGAAAACGCGCCGATTAAATTATAAATATTGGAAATAGAATTTCGGGAGTCGGTACTTTTTTACGCAAATTCATTGATCTTTTCAAATATTTTTTCAAACTTCCAAAATTTTGAAAATTTTCCGAGATATTAAGAAAAAACTAAAGCCCCATTTTTTTTTCACTTCATTGTTTATAACTTTTGTAATTTTTATCCGCCCGTTTTCGGACCTTTAACTTTCTAGTCAAAAATACGAATCGAATGACACCTTAGTCGTAATTTTTGGACAGGGCTGAAAAATCTCACCAAAAAGAGCTAAATCAAGTACATGTGAACCAGACTATAATACCTATAAAGTTGAAAGTTGGACAACTTTTAGCTTACCTACCTCTTCATTCCTCATTGCGACTTGGGTATTCATTTCATAAACGATCTGCTTCGGAAGTGTATATTTAACGTTTTGATTTTTTCTTCATTTTCTTTTTATTACATCTTTTTCAAACACGTCCTATGTATCAACAACACTATTTTGTGGGGGAACCAAACAGGAATATTGCCCGTTTTTTTTTATTCTCAAATGTTTTTTATATGGTGAATATGCATAGATACGCTTGCCTACCTGTTCTGATCTGAAAAGCAGGTCTGAACAGATAAATCAATACGGTAACTACACCAAGCTGTTAACCAATCTAAATTGGTAACAAAATTAAGATTATTAAGTAACAAATATAATGGTATACGCTTGCCTGCAAAAAATCGGTCATAAAATAGTATTGTCATGAGTTAAAGTTTTAAAATCTGAGTAATTAAGTACTTGCGAGAGAAACAGAGACAGTTAGAGAAGTGGAAAATCTTTTCTCAAAAATGAAATGAACACGTATTAAACTAACCATTGAGTCATTTATTTGAATGTAAAAACCGGTAATGGTTTTCGAAAATGTCGAAACAATTGTTCCAATTCTTGTCCCTTGACAAAAAAAACAAAAAACTGCAAATCTCAGTTCATTGGTTTCACTCAGGGCCGACTAAAATGGAACTTACCACCAACTCCGCATTCTTTCTGAATGAAACAATCTAAGTGCAAGAAAATCAAGTTGCAAGTTCATTATCTTCTCATATTACACCCGACAAAACTAAAATATCTTTTTTGCAAATGATTTCTACTGAACTCAATCAGAAAAATCGTTTTCTAGAGTAGATGCGTAACACAAAACTAATTGATTTTCCCTGCTATTGTAAAATAGCATTTTCACTTGCTATCGTCCAATCCGTGTTAGGAATCACACGTTGAAAGGTAAGACCTCGTTTGTCCGAAGCTCTCACAAATTTCGACTTCTGAGGATTGTCGTTCGTAGGGGTGCGACAGCTGGTTAACGGAAAAACAGATTTTTTTAAACAGATTGTGAAAGTCCTGCAAGCAAAATTTTCAGGATTCAACAAATTTCGTAGTCAACATAAGAATAAAATTTAAGGCGACTCGAATCTCTGAAGAGGTGAATGATGAAACTTGGTTATTTCTTACTGAATTTGTTTGCATAGTCCCTTGTGATATAGTATAACAGATATTGTATAACAATTCATCTGATTTAGCACCCATTAGGGCTGTAAGTAGTATAATTGAAAGTCTTGATTTTACCAATTCTTCAGAAAGAAATTAGAAGGTAACTGACCGTTAGACCGTCCTATCCCAAAAATTAGTCAGTCAAGACAAATTATCTAGAAGTATATGCATTAACAATTATCATATTTCAAGTGCTATCAATTTTTGTTTCATAGTTACGAGACCTAGTTGACATGATTTGTTCTTATTTGAACAAATATAGATAGAAAAGTTTTTAATCATATATACTTTTTTCTGAGATTGTCACTTCTTTCATTCAAATTTTAATGCTGATAAAAATCAGTAAAAGTTATAAATAACAATATAACACTTCTAGGTCTGTTCTGTTTCAGTTTGCACTATTTCATCTATAATGGGGCGGTAGTTTGTGGAGTGAAAAGATTTAGTAAAGATTCATTCAGTATGCAATTGGGTTCCTATTCTCTAACTCTGAAATAGTCCAGATAGCAAACTAGAACAAGCCTTCTGCGATGTTTATAATTTTTATTCTGTAGTTTTTTTCTGTAGGTATGCAACAAGCATTACGAGTCGCTCCCTGGTCTTCAACGCCACATGTACAGTAACCACAATGACACGGGAGAAGACTGGTCTGTCATATGCGACATATGCGGCAAAAAAATAGCCACCAAGGAAAAACTGAAGTATCACTTGCGAACACATACTGGCGATAGACCTTTTGCTTGTCTTTCATGTCCGAAAAAATTTCCAAAAAAGGATCAACTCAAGGAACACGAAAGGGTACATACTGGCGAAAAACCCTTTGTCTGCATGTACTGTGGAAAAAATTTTGGACACAGGGCACCGTATAGGTATCATATAAAGACGCATACTGGGGAGAAACCTTATAACTGTCCCATTTGCGGAAAAGGATTCATTTCTAAGGCTGCCAAGGAAGGACATGCAATTACTTGTACAAAAAAATAAAAATCACTGCTGGAAACACGTGAAAAATATTTATTTTTTTATACTTATTTATTTTTATGTTCAGGAAGAGAGATGGAGAAATTCAGGGTCGAATCAAAATATTTTATTTTCAATTGATTATGACCTTTTTAAATAGTTAATTCATGGAAAAGTTGCTATCATAAACTTGATTAGATGAATCAATTGGTTAGTTAAGTTGGATTTTCATTTCCTGATAATTGAAAAAACAATATAGGATTTTTGTGGAAGTTAAATATTGTATTCGTTGTTGAGCACTTCCAATAGTTTGATTTTCCACTTAACTTTCGTCAGGAATAAGATATTGTCGAAAAACCCTTAATAAATAAGTCTTCCATATGGTGCATACTTTGGGGACGACACTGTATATCAAAAAAATTGAAATTTCACGATCAGAAAGTTTTGTTATTTGAATTGAAAAAAAAGATTCAGTAGACATTAGTTTTTTATGAAAAAAGCGTTTTGGCTTTCTACATCTTCATCATTCAACACAAAATGTGGGAAACTTCCAAAGAAAGAAAGAAGGGAAATAACTACAATAGAAACAATAAATTGATGGATGTAGCCGTTACTACGTAATAGGAAATCATAATGAAGAAAAGAGAAATGAAACTTTCTATGTTTTTTACCACTTTCATTTGTAACTAACGTTACTGCAGTTTCGTCCAATACGGACATTTACAAACATTAAACTGCAATAACTTTAGTTATAAATAAAGGTGGTAAAAACAGAAAGTTTCAATTCTCTTTTCTTCAGTACAATCTCATTAAATTTGATGATGATTTCGAACAGTGGAAAACTTTTATTGAGTTATGAAAATATAGAAGCACTCATCTACCTGATTTCTTCACTTTTCAGTCCACCCTTGGCTCTAGTAAAACATAATCCACTTTCTGATGCTAACTACATTGTTAGTTTGAGAATGTCTGTATAGGACATATCTCTTTCTTCATTACAATAGAATCATATACATGTAGATGATATAAAGGAGTTTCTTTCAGATACAAACTAGAAAAACATCTTTCCAAACATATGATGGGAAAGTAATTGTTTCGAAATCGGACGGAGAATAAGAAAACCAAAAAAAATGATTTCTTCTAAAAATATTTACCTTTCAATGCAAATGAAATTCATTCGACAGGTTTTGAATTAACTATTGTCTGAATGTATATACTGTAATTGTTACAAGAGCAGTTATGTTATGAAAAAAATGATTGCCTCGTCTTGTAATGTTATCCAAAATGGTGTTGATGATATGATAAGTCAAGTGTTTTGCCTCGAAAGCTCTAAGTACACCTTTGAGGATGGCTGTGTTCCATGTGACATTTTACATCAATGATCTTTCATGTATTATGTTATGTAGCATTCTTATGAATGATTCTGTTTCAATTCCATAACGAATGTTAGGAGTACAAACTGAATGTGAAAATGTATCTGTATCTGAAAGAAATTTTTTCGTATGATCTGTATACATTTATGAAGTGTTTCTATTTCAGTTATTTTCTTCTTTATATGGAAGTTTTCCATATTTTTTGTATAATATTTGAAAAGTAGAAAATCAAAAAAAATTTGTTATATTACTATGCAGTTTATAATTTGAATAGTGATTGTGTTAACTACACTTAATGATACTGATAATTTTGGGCAATTTCAATTATAAACAGATAGATATAGCATGTAATACCTATTATTCCATGAATCAAATCAAAGTCAGACATCATTTCTATAAAAAAATATACATCTACTTTCCACAACCAGCGAATGACATTTAAACTACTAATTATTGTTGACTCACAATATCTAGTTCACAAAATGCTGATTGTCAACCTGAATTCAATTTTCTCTCATCTTGAAATTCATAAACCATTCCATTCATCTTTAGTGAAAATATTCCATCTATTATTGAAATTTATAATTCAATATTATTTTAGTTATACATATTAATTGGAACAGATTCATTATCAAGGTGTGGGAAGGGATTACGAAATTGGAATATCTTGAATGTTTTCCGAAACTGAAGCTTCTTGGGACCAATAAGTGCATGTGTTAGAATTATTGTATCAAATGATAATTGCAGAAAGAATATTTTCTTGGATTAGAAATGAACCATTGAAGTCGACATTACATTGATAATGTCATAGAGCGTTCAATGAGAGGATTTTACAAAACGTCAAGTATTTTGCAACAAAATTGAATAAACTAATATATCCATTAGTTCCAATTTTCTGGCATATTTTCATTTCAGAAAGTACGACTTTTACTGTTCTTTTAAAAGTTTTGAAATTACTTTGTAATTATCAGTATTTGTGATCTCTCAGAACTGGGTTAGTACCAATAGGTTTTCAAGTGAGTATGCATAGGTACTCAAGTACTTGTTTCGGGAATTTGTCAAAGATAACCTCCTTTGATAACAACTTAATCTGTTCCTTAGATTTTATCCATTTCATTTTCAATATTATTTACTTTTACGATTTTTTACGATTACTATAATTAGTTTCTCAAAGTATCAGAATGAAACACCAGTAATGGACTGTAATTCCTTAGCTATTGACTATTTTTTATGAATTGTACTTATTTTTGCTGTCCAAAACAATTATATAAAATCATATTTTTACAATTACGAAATAAAATTGACCAAAATTGACTATTGTCACATTTATCCTCTGTTGCTAATCTAGATGTAATGTTACACATTTTCATATACAGTTTTATTGACTTGATATTTTTTTAGGATTCCGTCTACCAAAGTTGTCGATATTGTTGAAGACGTAATCTTGGATGAAAATGAATTTGAGTCCGAAAATGAATGGATTCCCCAAGACGAAAAAGTGAAAAAGAATAAATTAAAAAGGGAAAAGCTTAAACAAGAACGAAGAGAGCTCAAAGAACAACTCAAAAAAGAGAAAAAACTGCGAGGAAATATAAAAATAAAGAAGCCAAAGAAAGATAAGAAGGAAAAAAAGAGTAAGAAGCATAAGGAACTGAAAAGGGAAGATCATCCACCACCGATGGAACTAGATGAACCCATAATTTGTGACATATGCAATGAAACCTACAAAAATAATGTTTCATTCGCGCTGCATTCCATCTCCCACAGTGATGATAGAAAGTATCATTGTCATCTTTGTACCTATCGTAATGCATCTAAATACCATCTTGAGATGCATGTTAGGGCCCACGAGGGGGCCACAAAGTATAAATGTGAAATTTGTAATAAGGCTTTTACAGTCAGCACCCATGCCATTGAGCATAAATATTTTCACACAGGTGAAAAACCATTTCAATGTGAAATTTGTGGAAAGCACTTCATGTTTTCTTGGTTTTTGGCATCTCACCGCCGCACTTCCCACTATGAAATTTTGACGGGCAGTCCTCTCGTCAAATTTGACTGCACTATATGCAACAAACATTATGCATCTGCTTCTGGTTTGCGGAGACATAATCTCAAGAACCACAATGAGGCAGGCATTGATTTATCGGTGCTCTGTGACATCTGTGGAAAGCAATTGTCAAGCAGAGAGAAATTGAAATTTCACAATCGCACCCATACAGGGTATAAACCTTATGGATGCCAGGTCTGTCCTAAACACTTTTCCAAGAAAGAGCAACTCATCGAACACACTCGTGTACATACTGGTGAGAAACCGTATGTGTGTAAGTATTGTGGCAAAGCATTCACTCAAAGAACACCCTTGAGAATTCACGAAAGAACTCATACAGGGGAGAGACCGAATATCTGTCCAATTTGTGGTAAAGGGTTTATTTCTAAAACTGCCGTCGAGAGTCATATCAGAAGCTGTTTCAATCATCCCCAAATTCTCCTACAAGAACCAATTGTCTACCCTCCCTATTATTCTTCAAGCAGTACCCCTATGACTCCTATGACGCCTGCTTCTGATATTTCTGAAATTGAGCATAAATTTTCTCTCTCTGATGCTTTTTTGGACCCTAGGCAGCATGTCAATGTCATTGGACATGCCACACAAATGTGAAAGTGAAAATTTATTGAATTTTGTTTGAAATTTTCTTCAATTTTGGAATTTTTCATTTTTCATGTACATAAGTATTACAAATTTGTACTTTCAAGCTAAAAATGGCCATATTTCATAATTAAAATCATCGTCAGGTAGGTATTCTATCAATGCATAAACTACCAACTTACAGAATTTGGTTTTTTGAAAGAAATCGTGTAGATTTGGCCATTACAAAACGGGTAAAATGATACATTTGTAAGAAATCTCAAAAAAAAATTGAGAAATCTCTCCGCAGAAGAAAAGTATGTTATATTTTATGTTATAAATATTATATAAAAGTTCATAGGGAATTTAGAGATTTCATACAGGTTATTTAAAAAATAATCAATTGGTATGGTGCAATTCAGTTAGTAAAAAAAATATGTATTTTATTTTTA